GTTTTTACATTTATATAAAATATGTTTAGGCATTTTTCTCATTTTCTTTAAAATAACAGTATACACTGTGTTATTTATAAGATGCGACATAGGGATTCCTGTACAAATGTGTCAAAAGAAAGCTAACTTTTTTACCAAATAACTTTCGTAAAAAATAATAACAGATTTGAAAAGATCGTAAAAAAATATGTCGAAATGGACATTACATTTTCTTAAATTCGTTCTGATTTATTAAAAAAATGTATAATTAAGTTAAAAAAGTCATACGCCATAAATAATTCCTTTTTATATCACTATCTAATAAATGTAAAAAGGGGCGGAGCTAACAGGGTTGGTAGACGCTTTGAAAATTTGAAAATTTCTAGGTGAAGGATTAAGGTTCAAACCGCGAGTGTGGAAATTTTTTTCCGTTTTTTTTTTGGTATTTTTTGTTTTTTTAATGTTTTTTTGTCATTAATAAAAATATGGTATTAATTTAAAGGCTCTACCTACTAACGAGATTTTGCGTCATCAAAATTGACAATTAATTGTGGGACTTTTATTTAAATAAAAATAAAATTAAAACTCAAATAAGCTTGTCTTATTTTAAATACTTTTATTTAACATTTTTTTAGACAAAAATATTAATAAAACCAAAAAAAAAAACAAAAAAAAACTTTGTCCCAAGCGGGGTTTGAACCACATTACTTCAAGATTATTTTTTCAAATTGCAGAGCGTTAACCATCTCTGTTAGCTCCGCCCCTTTTACAACAAATTAGATAGTGTTATAAAAAGGAATTATTTATGGCGTATGACTTTTTCAACTTAATTATACATTTTTTTAATAAACCAGAACGAATTTATAAAAATTTAATGTCCATTTCGACCTATTTTTTTACGATCTTTTCAAATCTGTTATTATTTTTTATGAACGTTATTTGGTAAAAAAGTTAGCTTGCTTTTGACACATTTGTACAGGAATCCCTATGTCGCATCTTATAAATAACACAGTGTATACATCATCACCATCATCAGGATTGAATAGCTCATTATTAGAAAAGTTTTGCGAAGCGGTTTTAATTAATTACGTCCACTGTATCAATTCACATCGCAATTTAAATTACACCGGGTGTAGGTAGAATATCTGTTGGCAAGTCAGTACAGGCGGAGTTAATTTGCAGCCGAGCAGCAGCAAACTTAGTAATAATGCCGTTACATTGAATTGCCACAGTGTTTGATCTTCAAGCCAACCCCATCCCTGTTACGTTTTCAGGTAAACGTGTTAAACAAACTAAAATCTACGCGTAATGATAATGATGGTCCTTTTAGTAAGTTGCAGTTGCAGATGAGATAAGTTCGCCTCGTGTTAGTATTTAAATTATATGTAGCAATCATACCAAAATTAATTTGACTCCCATTTGTTTGAACAGGCTTTGGCTTGCATAGTGGTTCATTAGAATTTAATTGCATATTTAATTTCGCAGTAATTCGTTAAATTATTTTCACGCATCGCAGAATAAAGAGAGGAGGAAATATTCGAAATAATTCCACCTAAAGTATTGTCGATTTTCTATTGTCTGACGAGTAAAAAAATGGCAAATGGCGTGACGTTGTAACTTTCTGGAGATACGCCGCGTTCAAATCGTTAACAATTATAATTTCTTCCAAGATTACTCTTCACAATGGAGTTTAATGTAATTGCTGGCGTTGGTAAATTTTCGCGAAGTCCTGAATTATAAAAGAAGAATTTCAGAAGAGCTAACAACGCAGCAATAACTAGTGGATTCGAAATGGCGAAGGAACTTTAAGACTTATCGGAATTTATTGCGATTGTCCCATATAAGCGTTGTTTCATTTTTAAAAGTTCATTAATTCCGTAGTTGATTACTTTCCTTGGTTGCCTTTTTATTTATTTACACGCTGTTCCGTTCGAGTCCCGCCCCAAGGCGACACAAAGAATAAAAAGCGAAAATAGTGACTTCCCTTAAAAAGTTATTCGACAGGTGAGCTATTCGCGATAAAATTTTCAAGCATTCACCACTGAAAAATAACTTAAAAATTGGATGAGTTGAGGATATATAGGACGATGCTATCAGTGTCTCATCGAGAAAGTGCGATGGGAAATTGAGATCCCGGTGTTCGATTTTATTGTTGGCAGCCCTGCCAGATATTGCAACTTGCCGGGAAAGAGTTGTTTATTCGAGAGAAGTATCGGAGATGTATTGAGAAAACAGATTTCGAAGATTTCGATAGCGAATTGTTTTCGAGGAAAGGCTTTCAAATAATCGAAAATTCGATAGTTCTTGGTTCACTAAGTCTTCTAATTTGCATAGCTACTTTACTTTTTGTTTGACTAACAATATTTTATCGTAGAATATCTTGAATATAATTTTTATGTTCTATTTTAGATTTACATTCTCCATTATCCAAAATCTCGGGATTATTCCATTTAAAGATTTAGAGCTCCCATTTAGAGGTTGAATATTCTATCAGTTGAACTGGATTTTAAATTCGATTTACAAGGCGATGACTGCTTTTTTATTATCGGATTAGGTGCATTTTATGTAAATTCTTACAAAATATATTGTATCAATATCGTATTAAACAATTTAAATATTCGTGTAAATATTAAATATAAATTATATAGGCAAATATATTTTTTATACCTTTTCATATAGTAAAATGTTTATCCAATGCACTCAACTAACACGGTAGTATAAATTAATAAAACCAAAAACAAAGAATAAATTTTAATTGTAAATATATTAAAACATTTTGAAGTTAGTTCCAAATGATCAATTACAGCAATACTTGTATTAAGACACCTAGGATGACGTTCATTTAATTTATTAACGCAGTCTGGATAAATTCCACCGTAGCCTTTGTTCTAGCACAAATAACTGGGTATCTCAAAATTTACATTTCCTCCGGCACGCCTCTCTCATACAAATATGTTTCATTATAAACTAAGGCGATGATACTAACTTATTATCCTCCTGCTGCAGTTTCTAGTGCAGAAAGCGAATACGCAGATTTCAGTTTGCTTAGCACATTTACCTGAAGACGTTCGGGAGAATATAATGCAATAGGAAGCGGAGTTGTTCTTAGATCAAACACTGTGGGAATTCGATGCAGCGGCATTACTGCCAGCTCTAATATATATTCCCTCTTATCTGAGTTTACTGTGAGACTGCACATCGACATCGACATTCGTTCCGATGCATTGGAATGATTTAAGTTCGGTTGTGTTTGTACAACTACTTTCTGCAAATCAAACTTTGGAATATATGTGTATTGGAACCAGAATAAATGCGCATTTCGAACTGACTTCCGTAGGCAATAATTTCGACGAAGGCGGATTCGAGGATTCTCAAATAAAATCGGATTTTAAAAACATTCCGCAATAAAAACCAATAAATGCAAATTTCAAAGATGAGAAATTTTGGTCTACGCGTTGCTTATAACAAAAATGATTTTATCGCAAACTCGCCTCATAAATTACTAAAGCCTCTACTAGTTGCTCGAATATTTATTCCAAGCCATAAGAAAATGCATTTTTTATGCGAGCAGCGGTTCGGCTCGATCTCACGCGAAGTGACGTATCCATGGAGATTTGCTTCGCAAGCTGCACGACACGTCTGATATTATTCCCTCTAGATGAAGCTATAAATAATCCCCTTTTGTGTATATCTGTTTCTTTTATAATACATACATATATCTGGTCTACTGTATTATACAGCTTGTTATGGATTTTTGTATAACATTTTTATATTTAGGGAAGGTCGGGCAAGATGAACTTTGAGCAACCAACAACTTTACCATTCCCAAACTGAGGGTTAAACAAATATTTTTCAATTATTATTACTATCAATATCACTTGCTCTTTTCAAATACTTGCGATTAGTTGGATTTAGGACAGCACTCTCAAATATACTCAATTAATATAAGTAGTTGAACAGATAATTTCCACGCTTATTTATCCATCTGTAACTAATTAAAGGTAATGACGCTTTAAAGGGTAACTATAGGCAACGCATAAACTAAACACGAGTAAAGCTTTTCAAACATACGAATTGACCAAACTAATTTCCTGCAAAAGCAGCATTCAAGCGTGCGTAAAACGATCATAATGCCTACGGAGCTTCTGTCAAATGTGTATTTTTTTTGTTTAGGAACGTTTGATAATTATTTTTCGGCCTCCGACGCGACGTCATGTCATGGTGCGTCGGCCGTGCTATTGATAGCTCGCCCTGATTGCGAACAATCCGGCACGGAGGGCGCGATTGAGATGGAGGTTTTTCTGGAACGGCCAGACAATGAATTGAATTTGCGAAATGAGAGGCCATCTACCTAACGCCGAATGGGATCGGGTTATTCGGGCCCGAGCGATTTATTTTAAGGGAAGCCTGGGGGCGAAAATAATCGACAACTGTTGGTCGACTCTTCGGCAAAAAGCGGACAACGGAAACGACGGGTAGAAAGGCAAATCGATTGCCGGGCGAATACGTTTCACGTTCCCAGTAACTATCTGAAATGGAGTATTGCTGCTTTATTTTTATAGGTAAAAAATGTTTGCACCTCGTCAATGTATCATCGAATAAATTCCTCCATTGACAGCTCAACTTTCGTTGATCTAACACATTCTTCGAGTTAATGTTGTATAGATATTATTAAAGTTGAAATACCACGACGACGTCGCAACGGTAAACTGGTCACGTAAAAGACGTTTCCTTCGATCGAAGATGGCCCGTCAGATAAAGACATTGCTCTCTCATCCCGCTTATCCCGTTTCGGGAAATTGGGTTCGGCTTTTTAAGGCTATTGCCTTCATTGAGCCGGCTGCTCCCGAGAAAAATTCCGCACCAAACTCCATAATCGACTGCTGCTATACAAACACAATAAATTGTATTAGTACAATTTAATATCACTACATTTGTTTCCTGCGCTTTATTGCAGCATTCTTTAATCTTCTTTCTACTTCTGTATGATCAGAATTTAACTGATGGTGTTTTCATTTCAGAGGCCGACTATACGTTAGATGAATCGTACTGGATTGCAGAGAGCCCTGCTGGTGAGTAATTTTAGCCATGTATACCTATGTTGAGCAGTTGATATAAATAGTTTTATAAGAAGTATTTTCAGTTTCAGTAAGTTTTACTTACATAAGTATATTTAGATTAAAAATTAGCCAATTTTTTGCTATTGGTTTCAACAGATACCATGCTACTTTAAATAAGTAAATAAGTAATTAGTGGGGGAGATATGCCGTGCAGCCAGTTCTGAGTTGGGTACTCAGAACTCCCGGGAACTTACAAAGATGCTATTAGTCTTCCTGCCGAAACAAAGACACTTAACATGACTAATAGGGGGGCAATAAGCAACCAATGCGGAGGGTCGACACGTCCGATCCCCAGATTGGCGTTGTTTGCCGAACGATCACGTATGGCCATCAATCTTGGCGTCACGGCGATGTGCCGCAGGGTCTGATCTCATTTCGGCCCGGGCGATGTTGGAGAAAGTCTAGCGAAATAATTGAGATCGTGTGTCTACGAGATGCAAATTCGGTCGACGTTCGTATTTAATTGTTCGGTGCAGCAATGCAATTTATGCCGAAATTGGAGTCGTTATTGCTTAATAGGTCGGCGTATAGGAAATAAAACTTTCCCGTTACTGACTCGAGTTTATTTTAATACGCGAGAATATACGGTTACTTTACAGCTCGGGAAAATCAGTAATAAATTAATTTATCAAGTATAATCTCCAGTTTCCGACTCCGACGGTTTTATTTAGGAACAAGTGCGTAAGTTTGTCGGGCTAAGCGAAAATATTGTTTAGTCCCGGATAAGTTTTTAAACGAGCTTATTCAGTAGGTTGTTTGTTCGAGAGGAACTTTTATTAATATATAGGTAGATCGTTTAAAAGGTAATGCAGAAGGTTGGGTGAAGAAAGTTTTAGAATTTAACTAGATTGGGGTACAAAATTGGATGCTATTTAACTAAAATCGCTGTCGCTCGCGCGTGAAAAGTTCTATTATGTATACAAATTGTTGCTCAACTAATTGAGTTGACCTGAATTTGGGAACTCTCAAAACGCCAATAATTTATTAATTTATTTAAGTACCTATCATTAATGATGATTAAAAATTTTTCTGAAAATCATGAGCGTAATAATAAATTTTAGAAATACGTTTTAAAATCCTCGAACTTCTACTGGAATTAATACAAGTCTTTAAAGTATTCGACAGAGTAAAATTACGAACTTCAAGCTGAAAAACTCGAGGAGCGCGTGCATTGTTACTGAAATCTGTTAAGAATGATAAAAGTTTGGAGAAGACTTGTTAATATTTCGTGTGTTATAAGAGTTTGATCATATCGACTCTCAAGCCAACAGTGTTCACTTTTTCTTTTTTTTATTATTAATGCTAACAAAAACTTTCCGACGAGCACGACAAAGGCAAAGGAAGTGTATTATAAAAGTTTTACCGAATATTAACGTGTTTTTTATTAGTATTGAGAAATTGCCAACAAAAAAAGTTGATTAATTGCATTTAATGCGACCCTATGTATTCAAGTTAATCTAAAAACCATCATAACATTACCATTTTAAAATATGAATTTATGGCATTTGTTTTTATATTCGAATTCATTAAAATTCAAAAGTTTGAAATATTCAGTTTGTTTTGGGTAGAATAATATAATATTCATTAACCATTCTGGGACCTTTAATTAATTTTACGATTTAATACACCTACTGAACTGAAAACGTGAGGATACAAGGATAATGTATTCTAAAAGTAAATATAATAATTTGATTATACCTACAGATATGACCATTGTTGTATCTAAATGCAAATACATATTTTATCAAATTGTCTTATAAAACGCTTCAACCTCAATTTTTTATCGAATCTGACTTGGGAAAAGACATTTTTTTCCGTCTTTTTATAGCCCATTATTCGATAAAACAGTGATCGTAATACCTGCATAATAATATAGTTATTATGCTCCTCTTTGCCCCAATTCCAAATATACCTACTGCTAAGCTTATTTTCGTATTATGTACCTACTTTTACGAGATCCGATTGTGCGTTAAGTACATCTAAGGTTAACTAAAGTTGACGTTATACTCCCTAATCTTATCATTACCAACTCTCCAAAGGGACTCCAAGGACCTATTACGACCTATATTCAAAATCGATATCAGCCTAGCACCTTGTTATAGGTATGTTTATTGCTGCGATAATGCATTCGAAAGGGACATGCTTTAAGAGTCACTACTGAGCGATACTTAAAATTCCCTTTACTCCCTGTTTACAGCTCCCTGGTGACTGTGTTAATATCATTAATTATCCCTAATTTTCATAAGAATTTATAGGGTGCCGTAGACTTCTAACAATATTGTAATTCGAATAAAGAATTCCTAATTTAAATTTCTCACAGTCGATCTATTGCGTAACAAATCTTTTATTTAAATAGCCGCACTTGTTCCGGAACAGTATGAGAAAAAAGCTCAGTGTATCTGCAATTTTCATTCGCTAGACTAAACAAAATGCAAATTCAATTGCTTTGATGGGCTTTAACCTAATTTCAAACAATCCTGTGTGGAGCATTTTTTTATTTAGTAGGTTTTGTTTAGTATCCCATATTGTTTCGTTGCAGCTTTATTTTGTTTACGTAATGAGTTTTTTTTTATTTCTTCGACCTAAATCGAATCGGGTATATTAAAGGGATTGAAAGAGTTTTGAGTAATTTCCTCCTGAAACATACACTATTGCCTGTCAAATGGTAGAAATAAGCAGATAAATTCTTTTTCAATGGAAAATCGCGTTTTATTTTTGTAGATTGCCCAACCGCAGGATCAATTCGTGAGCGAGAATCGCCAATAAAAACCATCGTAGCATCGACAATCAAAGAGTAATTTAAAAAATCCCCGCGCAATGTCACGGGGCTACGAGTTAAATTATAGACTCGGCGGAGCAGATCAAACAAGTTTCATATGATGATGACGATCAAGAGCAGGCAGCAGCGTTGAAAATCGAAATAATCTGTGATTGACAATCGCATATTGGCTCAAAGCTTTTGCGCCGCCAATAAAGCGTGTCATAATATATTTCCAGACAATGGATTCTCCGTTTTTTCATAGATTTCTTATTCAGATTATTTTTTTACGATTATCTCGTTGTTCGGTAATGGATTGAATGTATAGGGTGATTCGACTTTTTGTACGCATCTCGAAAAGCAATAAAGTTATGTGAAGGGTGCGAATCACCCGGTGCAAACAGTGAGAGTTAATTGAAACTTAATTTCCAATGAATAACGTTTCTTTAATATTTTCGTTTCGAAAAAAAGCAATTTCTAGCCGACTCATGAATCGCACGAGATGTAAAGAAAGCATTGGTTGTTTTACTTGTTTCGCTAGGTAAAACACTAAAGTGGATATCTAGTGGTTTTATCCGGGATCTCGAGTAAACTGAAGAACGGCCGTTTCAGTTTTTTCTCTAAATATTTAGCTTACATTAAACTGGAATCGCATAAGAAATATTACAAATTTCTCTTGTTAAATTTAGAAGTCACTACTCGAATATTATTTTTTATAACAGAAGTGTTTATTTAATTCTAATAAAACACGACCTATGCACGGTGTATGCAAAAAGTTCGAAATAAACCGCAGCTTTAACAAAGACAATTAATTTTACTTACCTACCTCGTTACACATAACAAGTGTGCGTTGTTACGAAGGATTACACGGAGCGTTAATGCAGGATATTAGTAAATTTACATTTCTAATAAATTATATAACCCTTCTCTAATAAGTCAAATGTAATTATCAGGACGAGATAATGAGGAAAACGTTTCTATTATGCCAGAGCAAATACATTATTATTTATTTATGGGAAAACAACATCAGTAAAGCAGCAATTTGTAATAAAATAAATACCCGTGTCAGATGTTGATGAAAAACCAAATTTAAATTTAAATTTCACGTGAAATCCCGAGAAAATGTTTTCAAAGTATAGAGCACCTGAAACAATATGTTATACACGTATACCCAGAAACATATTCGCTACGTTCATTTCGAATATATTCTCTTTTATTTTTAGCTTTTGTGTCGCAAAAGTAATATTGCTGGATTCTCGTTCGGTTTTAATCTCATCGCGGAATTCATTTTCCATTTTCTCTGAAGGTAAGAGTGATAAACTTGCTCTCCGTAAAACTTGAACCAGTCGTCTCTTTGAAATTCGTTATGGAAAACGCTAAACTTAACAAAACCCAGCTAAATATTACGAACAATAGTCGTAGAGAAGTTTTCAGGGAATAAATGGAAATCCCGTGTATTCCGGTTTTCGCACTTATTTTATTACTGGTATCTCAATTATATTCTGTTTTTAAACCAACAGGAATAGATTAGATTTGAGATTGTTATACTGTGCTTTTTGAATTGTTTGGTATACGGGTGAATTCGCACTCAGTTATTATTTTATTTGATATGAAATTTTTCTAATTTAACCTACGATTTTAATCATTAATTGTCAATAAAGTTTGATTAATATAATCTTTAGGTGTATTGACAGTTTTTTAGTAATTATCTTAAAATTATCTACTTTTGCTTTCTACGAGTATGTATCTACCAACTGATTAAGTCTAAAATTAGTTATCCAATAAGCGAACCCACTATTTAGTGTTGTTCCTACATACACAAACAACCTGTTTATTTCTAAGTAATTGCCTGTTTAGTATATTCCTGGTTTATGTACCTATATGTGATTAACGATCAGGAATAGGAGGTGATCGTTTTCGTGAAATACATAGGAAACACCTTAATTAAACTGCGTCACAGTATATAAATAAAGCATGACTTAAATGGCAAATGACTAGGAAACTATAGCAAATAGTTTTCATTAATATAGTATTTACTTCATTATTTATAAACGACCGGACTGGCGGCTAAATTTGTCGGGAAACATTTTTCATCGTGAAGGCGGCGCGCCGGTGCTGGCCGGGGAGAAAACAGGAAAGCGAGAAAAGTAACATAAATTTCGAAAATTTAACATCGGATGCAGACCAGCACAACACATTCATAATTTAACCTTTCTTGCTTATTTCGGTTATAGTTCTTCTCTAAAAGAAGGATTAATCTTGCGGAAACTTCTTTAATGCCTTCCGGATGTGATGGCTCTCCGACTGTGAATTAACGTCCCTTTATTTATGCAATATCAATAAGAATTTAAATTAGAAAAGCGCATTTTCAATTGTGGGGGGTTTTTATTTGTTTTTTTTTGTCCATCTGTCTATTCTTTGTCGTTTGTCGTTTGGCCGATAAGAGTTGCAGTTCAAGCAAAACGTGAGTTACCCCGTTGGGAATTGTCCCTATTGCATCGGATATCTCGAAATTGTATGGTCACAATACATCGCTTTTATTGAACCAAATATGCATTGTCTCGTTCAAATAATGTTTACCAAGATAAATCAGTAACCGTTCGTCCCTATACTTAAATGTTCTGGTTTTTTGACATGAACCGTTGAGTAGTGTTGGATTTTACGTTATTGTGATTTAATGAATGAGGTTAATCCTGTAGGTCTATTAAAATAGATTGCTAGAAAGGTATCATATAAATTCGTGAAAACCCAGGAATTTTCGTCGGTATCAATCAAAACCGTTAATTCCAGACAAGTAAATTAATTATACTTCATTTTGCGTGACATTCCACCATTACAGAAGGCGCAAAAACCGACATTTCGGTTATTTGTCACGCGAATCAACCCCTGATTGATCACCTCACTTTATTTCGTACGTACATCCTACTTCAACATTGAAAAATCCAATCGGTTGTGTAAACTTTACAGTTGTACGCGCAAAAATAAATGAAAATGATACCAAGCATCGAGAATTGTTATTTTTGTCCGACAGTATATGTTATTTCTATTCCGTTAAAATCAGGTTATATTGATTTAATTTCGATTAAATGGCGAAAAACCTACTACAAGCATGGATGAACATTAAATAGATCTGTGAACAGTACAACATCTATTTCCTAAAGTAAATCAATAATCTTGGATTAAAATAAAGTTCATCTGATGTGTTTATAAAAGATTTACATCCCCGATAGCGACGTTTATTGATGGTATTCTTATTTTGAGCGTTCTTCATCTGCCATTATCTCGATTAAAGATTGTTATTCGTTTTTCTCTAACTAAATAGGAAAAATAAAAAATTAGAGCGATAAAAAGCGTCCTAGTTCTGGATTCGGAAATAAAATATCAAATGCAATCCTAACATTTTTTTTTCTTATTTTGTCGTGCAGGAGAAGTCGAACGGCTGCTCAGAGAGTACACCCAAAATCAGGAGATGGTCCGAAACATCGGCTCTCATTACTATCAGATCATCTATCCGGTCCAGTTACGCCAGCACAAGAAAATGGGCATTTCGACAAGGGATGTAGGGTCGCCTAAGGTACGCAAAGCACGGAGTACGGTATGTCATAGCACTTATTCATCTCATTATCACTGATAACTACTATATGTTCATTTTATTTTGCTCATTTGTTTAGTTGTATATTTTTCTTTATTGCATTTTCAATATCTCGTTTTGTACTTACTCTCTTTTATTCATGTTATTTCAGATCATACCTTTTGCTGTTTATTTAAGGATTCAATCGGTTTTTTTATACATTTTTCTGTGATTTTATACTATTGGCAATATCTCTGTACTTTTTGTCATAACGCTAATAGTGAAAAAAAAACAATTTCTGTCGCCTCTTCATTTCCTGCATGGCGAATTTTTCAAATAAACGTCTTCAGTCCTACGAAAGCCCTTCTCAATACTTTTACTTACAAGGGTAGGAATTTATTTTTTAAAAATTTGAGAGATTTCTCACTTTGATGATTGCTCATTTACATTCCAAGGTATTAATAATTTTCGCAACCGACGAAGTGTAAAGCATTTTCTTTTATAGCTTCGAATATTAGATACTATTAAGCTTAATAATTTTCTTTGAGCTGTAGCGTAAATTAGAAATGATGCAAGTAAAAATGCTTTCGACAAATTCAAAGATCAAAGAACTTACAATTACACTTCAAATTAAAATTAGAAAATTTTTTATCAGGTTTTAGGTGATGGTTAGTTTCTTTATAAGGATCCTTATTATACGTTGCTTCTCGTTCCTTCTTTTCTTTAATAAAGAAACGCAAATTGTTGCAAAGAAAAATTTATGATTAAAAAATTCAATTGCATGTTATTCCGAGCATGCTCGTAATTAGAATTCTTTCATGTCTCTAAGAGCGTTCAGTATGCCACCGACGGAATATTCAAGAACTGCATTCAAGTTCCCACAACGGCGGTTTTTCTTTAATAAAGTCTATTCCAGATGCAAATATGCAAAAGAAATTTGTATGGAGAATATAAAAATATTCTTTCTACTTATAAACCGGCGGCCCTCAAAGCTCAATGCATTCAAAGAGAGAATGTATTATACACGAATGTATGTAGGTTTAGGTAAATAGGTAAAAGGTAACTGGATTTATAGCTTTGCTCAGACCTACCACAGATTCAATGCGCTAAAATTTATGCATATAGGTATTACAGCGTCTTAACATTGGATAAAATTCGTTGGAACTAGGATTGTCGACCGCTAAAATCCATTCATGACAAGCACTGATTTAAACGCTTTTCTCTCGTTAATATCTAAAAGATTTATCCTCCAATACATTTACACTTCAATAACGTTAATCGATCAAGTGTTCTCTTTAATCTAATAACATCAACTTGCGATAATGCAAGGAATTTCTATGGTGCAAATTTGAAATAAGAATTGTGGAAACTTCGCTCATAATCTTCTCGCTTATTCGAAAATATTCGTTCGCCGAGTTAAATTGTTAAAGAGCCGCGGAAACTTGTTCAAATAATAACTCTAATAGTCGTTATACTACATTTAACTAGAATCTCGACTGCTAAGTACCAAAAGACTGTTAGTGAAGTTAAGAAGTTCACGGATTTAGTTCTCTCCGCAGTGCGGAGACCTTGTTTGCAATCTCGCCAGATAATTTTCCTAGATTAAAAATTTAATCTCGTGTAATTAAGGGCGCACTATGTAAATTGTGTGTAAATTGTAATGGCGGTGTGTCAGGTAATGGATTGCAATTTTCGCGCATTCTGCTTCAATTTCTTAAATTTACACCTTGTAAATATTTAGTTTTAGGTTTTTTATTTCGCTATGCTTTTTATCTTCTTTTTTAATTTATGCTTATATTCTCGCTATAATTCTCGATTATGCTTAGTAGACGTTTGTTTCATATCTACATCACAACTTGCACAAAGAAATTTTCCGAAAATTTTAAGTTTTTTTCATAATTAAAACATTGATTACAGAAGGGCCAAGGTAGCGACAGCAGCACATCATCTTCTTCTGGATACTTCGGAAGAGGACGTCAAAGCAAAGTAAGTTCCTTTTTTGAGAATATAATTACTAGAGTACTAGAGATTTCTCTATAACTTTTGTGATCATTAAGACCAGCTCAATATTACATACACAACACACTAATTCTGCCATTCTACTTTACCTGTAAAAAATATAACTTTGAAGAAGTAGTTTGTAGAAGTAGTATATGTCACATCTTTATTCTTTCAATCGACCTTCCCAGATTCTCGCAAACTTTTTCCAAATTTACTCTGATGTTTACTTTCGCCGGCACTTTCGCCATTTCGACAACGACCGGGGAGCTTTAGATTGAAATTTCGGAGTATTCGAAATGTCGTCACAATAAAATCATCGTCAGGTTCGAGTGGGTAGGCTTAATTCGATTCCGAGCTCTTTGACCAGATAAATTGGGGAATCTAGTAAGGTGAATTAACATAATAATCGGAGATGATTGCCCGGCTCAGTGAATGGGCCCCTAATGAAACATCCTTAAATTCTGGAAAAAATCTCTTCTGAATCTTGCTGCTATTTCCGAGTCGTCGAGACATAATCGAAGCGCCGGATGATAATAATAATTTTAATGAGATTAATCTTTTACGCAGGTAAACATTTGATTTTAGCGAAGCGTATAAATTGTGATAACGATAATTTTTTAGGCTTCAAATCCAGCCAGCACATACCACGTGTTACGCCGCACAATTTCGGCAACAAATAACGCATTGTGGTGTAACTAATTTAATTAATCAATTTGCATAATAATTGTTGCAATTTGCATACTTGGTAGAGGTTTGTAGTTTAACCTGGAGCTTGTATATGCGCATTGTCCGGTTTTGTGTATGCATCTACATAACTAGAAAACGTATAATAGCAAGTTTTATAATTACTTTTCTTATAGTTGGTTGTTCCGTAATGTTCTCGCGAATTACTGCAAAATCGCGGACAGCTACGTAAAATGCTGGAACGTAGACAAATTTGCCAGCCAATTCCAAAAATAGTCCCAAATGCACAAGAACGACAGATGTTCCCTAAAAATGGTTTCTCTAAAATGACGGCCATATTTCGTCAAGACCACTCCAAGCATATTGCTTTCTCTCCATTCGGCCTCCCATATATCACTAAAGTGAAACGTATAAAATATATGAGATAAAAACCCATCAACAGAATATCTTATAATATCCTCGAGCGGTTGTTTAGTCTTTATTCTCAATTCGCTTTATCGACGAACTGCGAATTCCTGTCGCTAGGGAACACCACGACATCGAATTTCGTTACTCGATTTCAGTTTATTGATAAATATCGAAGAGCATCTGTTTAATAAAAAATTCCCCTATCTTCATACTTTTTAATAACGTCCCAACTAATTGCAATTTCCATAATGCAACTTGTCGAAGATTTCTCGCAATAAATTCACTTTATAAATACATTGCTTATCGAATTTCGCATGTTCGCGAGTTCAATATCGCTCATTGGCCGGCTTTCCTTCGATTGCATATCGAAGACGACATGGATTTTTCCATTGCACTAACATCAAAGTTTGCGATTTCTCATCAAACTTTCTCGTCAATTTCAAATCGCGTATTTCCGATCCGCATGTTTGAACAGGCCATTTCGCTCGTTCGATGGAACGCGTCACATTCAAACGAGAGCCTTGGCGCAATTTACTCGCTTTCTATACCTCGCTCAATCAAAACACTTCTAATTCCTTGCGATGCTTGCATAATGGGCACCCGGTCGTATTTGGAATTTTTACACCCCAACGGGATTATCGGATTTCCGTTTTCAATAAATATACTAGGTGTGTAAACTGCAAGTACCTACTACTTTTTTTTTTTAATTTCGTTGGGAGCAAAAATAAATTCTGTTAGAATTTAAAAAAATAAAACGTTGAGAATTTAGACTTCAAAAGAATTGTACCTACATACATACCTAAGCATTTTTGCGAAAGAATGGTTCAGTAAGAAGGTTAAAAACATTTTTCCCCATTTGAGTAAGGTTCTGCGACTCTACCATCATAATTACAAGAACAAAAGTCCCATTTGTAATGTACGTGGTAAACGGGGCGAATATTTCCAACCCCTTCAAATAGCGCGCTAATTCCTCTCCTAATTAAAAGGTTTTTACTCAGGTATGTGAATAGAACGAAATTACTTTCGCAAACGCTTCAAACGTTTTAAGAAATATTTGTTATAGGTATTAAACAAGTCGATAGAAAGAGTGAGGATTGGCATCTTGTTCGCCGATTAATTGACGAAAAACAAGATTTGGTGAAGCTTATCGGGTTCTTTAGCGAACCGAACTAATTAGAATACAAAATCCAATATCCGGTACTACAGAGTATGTAAATGTATCTGATGGAATATCGATGTTTCGTGCGATAGCCGATATCGGCCTGAAAGGCCAATTCGTTTCGCTATTAATGAGAAATCACGTTGAGATCAAAGTTGGAAAATTAGAAAGCTCTCTCGAAAGCACAAGTGCAAAACCTAACCGGAGTGGGTAATAGTTACGATATTTGACATATAGATATTTTTAGACTTTATTTAAACGTAGAGAATATTTTTAATTGGCTTTGTCGAATCAAAGTTCTATTTCTTGAAGTTGACCGAAATCTACAAGTTCCAATTAAAGTCTAATTTATAATCTTAAAAGACATGATACTTTTCGTCCACCAAAAATTCAAGTGCCTCAACAAGGTCTTGTTAGATAGATACAGGTGCTTCAAGTTTACCTTTTGCAGCACATAAATTCCCGTTGAAGATTAACTCTCTCTAGACACGAGAATGTATGTTGTATCGTAGTCGGCTTCGCGTTTCCTAAATCAGAATCAGTAAATTACCGAGAAGATGTCATGATGCATGGCTTCCTTCCTATTTTGCTCCCATTGAAACTGACTAGTTTGTGAGTGATGAATTAAGCGCAGCATCGCTCGAACAACCGATTAGCAATGATCCGATGAGGCGTAGGAAGTGATTATTAATAGAAATCTCCGTATATTTGACGCCCCAATCGAAAGTGTCGAGCGTGTTGTACAACCAACGAAGGCTTACATTTTTCCGGTAAATAATATTGCAGTGTTTCAATGGGTGGGTACTATACCTACTATACGTAATTACAATAGAGCTCGATTAAGTTCTCTCTCTCTCTCTCTTTGTGTTTCCATGGATATTGTGCGAAGCACAATGTTTATTGCTTTTGGAAATTCATTTGAATATTTGCAAAAATGCAATGGACAAAGCCGGAAAAAAATCTTGCTGAAATTTCCATATTTCTATGCAACACGTAATTTCTCGTTATCAACAATGGTTATTATCGCCGAAGGGAAGTTCAAGCATGGGTAGAAATAAGTCTAAAAAAGAACGTTCGATTAACGGGGGATTCATCTCTGGGGAATAGTCACATCTATGTTCTATATAATGTACAAAAAGCGGAAAATACACAATGAAAAATCAATTTCTCTGTTGCCGTTTTCAACCCGCCCTTTGAGTTTTCTTTTTAAACCTTAAATAATATATGTAGGTACATTTTTCTCTGGTTCTGAATGTCAGCCAAACCAAAGGGAAACTGTAAATTGGTCTACATGGAAAAGAATTCAAATCAAAAATAGCAACTATTACTAAATCTCATTTTTCTCATTTTCAATAAGTCTCACCGTTAGAAATACCAAGTTATTTATTAAGTATCAAAATTAAATTAATCTTGTAATAGTAGATATGATAAATATCTCCTTAGGTCATAATATTATCGCCGAGATTTTCAGCCGATATCCGGCCCTTTTCGAGTGACAATCTATTTATCAAAGCCGTAGCAAACGTCTCCGGAATCTCGAATTTCGTGGAGGTGAACCTCTCGATACGGTTAAGCAAAGTTTCCGACAACAATTTTTCATCGGGTTCAAACGGCCTTAAAAAGAACAATTAATTATGAAGGCGCTATTGGTCGTTCAGCGACACAAAGGACCGTTGGAAAATAGTTTTTAAAACCGGGAAAACTTTCAGTGACCCCGGCGATAAATCAGGAGCGCTTCGCAAGTTTGGAAAAAATTTTACTAACGTCTGTTCGCCTAATGAAAACGGTTAAAACGAAAAAAAAAACATCGACTAAATTATGAATTGTGTTCGATTATTTTGCTGTGGATGTTTATCACCACGGTCCTAAATAAATTTAAAATCGTCGCAACAGTTTCAACTAACTGCGATATTGTCCAATTTCCATCCATACCCAAGTTCTATACAAATAGTCTGCGCGAGTTCTGCAGTTATAGTCCTACCAAGCAAACACAATAGATCGTCCTCGAAGGAGATGAAGTGACAATTTTGAGAGAGTTGCAGGATAACAATGAAAACGTGTAGCTCAAACAGCGAGATCAATGGTGAGATTTAGAAGAGACCTACCCAAACAAGGACACAAACGAGTAAAGGTAAGGATGAAAGGAAAGGAAGGAAGGGACAAATCGTAAGAGAATCATACTGATTTAATTAAACAACGCCTACAATGAGATACTAATGAAACGAAGAAACGTGCTTCTCTAAGTGTAGCGCATCCGAAATTAAAATAAATTATATAAGAAATTTGGAGGAAAAATGTCTGGACAATTCGAACGTTACCTTAATTAATGACAAATCCCGCGGTTCCGCCTATGCACAGCATACCCTTTGCATGCGTTCCATCGAAATGAAAATTTTACCACGATAAACTGACGTCCGCCGCAAACGACAAGTCGGCGTGCTTCGACTGACTGGCAAAGCGGACACGAAAGCACGCCAGGCCATGCCAAGCCATGCCATGCCATGCGAAGCCATGCCGCCCGCCGAAACTCGGAAGCCGAAATCCTAACCTAAACGAGCATCTGAGGAGCACGTTTTCGAAGGGCGTGGCCCCTTTTATTGATTCGTCATCAGGTTGGTTTTCAATTAAGAGCAAGTGGTTACCAGGGGAACGGTTACCGGCGATGTTAAAGCACAGCGGCGGCTCGAAGCTTGGAGCTTGGAGCACATGCTTCTCCCGGCAGATGATGGGTTATTTTATTGAGGCGAGGTAAAGGTGATTTAATAAAAGCCGAATCGGTTTTTAAAGATGGAATTCACGCAACCTCGACGAATTTCGTCGCCTGCGGGCGACTTTATTACGCCCAGCTGGAAATTTTAATTTTGCACACCTACGAGGCGTTTGCGTTGATTCCCTATATTTCAAGTTATTTGACATTCCTTATGTGTTCTATAAATACGTATGTTATGTAGTGTTCTTGATGTTGATGGCATTCGATCAATTTCGCCAGATAAACAGGCTATAAATTTCCAAATTTGGGTAGTAGTAAGCATCCTGTCGGAAACAGACGGTGGAATTCACATCACGTGTGTAGGTTTAGAAACATTTAATAAACTCTATCGTGTTTCCTTACTTCGAAAATTCCGAGGTAAAAGATGTTTGGTTTTGCGTCAAGTTAACATGTGAGTGAGCAAAAAATAAACAGTTAAAGTTATTTTATAGCATATTTTAATTTAGCCTATTCATTTTTCTTTATAATTTTACTACGTTTTCGACTTGTTGCTTGTTGGATTTCCTAGCATTTTTTATTGCATTTTTGATTAGTTTAGAATTAATTTTTAATTTAATTGTACGGAAAAGTCGTCTTCATGGATTTGTCTCTTGGTTGGTAAAATATTCTCGAGAGATTTCTCTACTCAGTAGAGACAGTATTTTTCCCCGACCTCATCCTTAATTCTAACTAATTTGTGCTAGTCTTATTAAAACCGCATCCAGTTCGTTTTCTGTTTTCATTAGAAATAAGAAGCCCCTCTGATTACATAGCATTTTTACGAGCTTCAATCAAATTATTACTAAAATTTCTGAAATTGTTTCCCGCGTTTGCTTATATAAATATTACCGTCACGTCATAACTCACATAACTGAATATACAACTCTACATTCATTGAATATATTTGTTTAGTGTTAGAACAAATGAATCAATACAGCATACATTTGATTGTTAACTCTATTGATTGACAAATTTCATTCAAAGCAAAACTTTTTATTAAAAACCTTCCAACATCAATAGAACATGTTTAATTATTTGGTTTGAAATTCACCTTATTTAGTTACAGGATACCTCGCTAATTACTAACATTTATCGACTAGCCTCGCTTTGAAAATTGACATTGTTTTAATTTGCCTGTTTATTAGAATTACCTGTTTTAAATTTCTGATTTTAACTGGCAATTGCTGCTAACTAAATTAGTGGATACCTCGATCGAATTCCCTTTTCGTCGACTAATTTCTAATCCATGACCTATGATGCAGCGCCGGTGCATCGCTTGAGATGCACAAGTGCGGCTTGATAGCCCATCTACAAAGTCAGAATAGAACCGAATAACCCGCTAGTAATTTGAGTCGGGTTGTTTGCACTATTGTTAATTGAAGAGAGCGTTAATTAGAGAAGCGATATTATTTCTACGGAAAGTAAAGTGCAAGTCTATGTATTATTCAGATTTATTTGCAATAATCTTACTATATCTTTTATATAGGCATATTGGTCATATAAAATGCAAGATGCTTTCTAAAAATACATTATAGGATTATATCTATCGAGATAAAAAGCGTGAGGAAGAAGCTTCTTTCATATTTTATCTAAAATCAAGCTAAAAGTAATGAAAATGATCCTCTCCGCGTTACAGGAATATTAAATTTCTTTTAATTCATTCAGCATTAAATTCGAAACCCGAGGACACTTATTCAATCAAGGAGACTTTCACGATGAAAAACCATTTCTTTTAAAATATAAATTGCGCTTAACCTTTAGCAAATGTATCGGGGTGTTCCCTGAATAAATTCCGGCTAAACAGTTTCAAAAAGAAATTTCTGCGAGTGTGTTAATTATTTATAAAAACGCGTCTTGTTGATTAAAATAAAAGTTTTCGGTCCCGTTTAAGCTTTGAAAAAAATTAAAAGTTTTAGTCAAATTAATATTATTGCCGAAATATTCTGACAAGGCGATTTCGACGAAAATCAATAAAACATGCGAGCAATCTTCCAGGATAATTTATCAAATCCCAATACAGCTATTACGCGATACTTCAATAGACATAAACATCTATATATCCATCGAGTTCGATTTTTTCGGTCTTGAATCCTACCCATCTTCCAATTCCCGACATTTTTGTTTGTTTCTTTTCCGCAATAAATCATATCGCCTAGACTAAAATAAATATTTGCCGATACTAACGAAGTCTATATTTTTTCCTTCTTCCGCCAATTCGCATATAAATTTAAATAAAATCGACGAAAGAGCGTCGCTTTGTGCAATAAAAAATCCGATTTAATATATCATCTTTGAATTTTAATTTTCTTTGGTCTCTCCAAGGCAAGCAATGCTGGTAAAATTTTGTTGACTATTGGATTTCCTTGAATCGTATTGGCACGTTCAAGGGAAACTGGAGGAGCCGTCAATGTCACTCTTAATAACAATTTCAAAGTTTCAACCGACAAGCTACGTCTGTCTAACGCAGCGGAAATGTACACAAACTGCTACAGCAGGCAACTTCATTGTGTTGGTGTTTATTAAAGTAGTTATAAAATCAAAACTTCCAGCAGGTGGAGTATATGCAAATTTTAGGCAACGATTTAAAGGTATGGCGGATTAAGGCCATTCGGAGAATAATGTTGGTTTAATAATAAAATATTTGCCATGAATATTTTTGCTTCGCTAATTTGAATGAAATAATAACGGTGATAGTTTGATGGTATATCGGATTAAAGCGTAGATACATGTAATTTATTTAACGTTTATGATTTTTTTGTGACACTTTTTCATAGTCGTTTCGAAATATTCATTTCCCGGTCCGCGTATGTGTTGCCCTGCAATAAACCGATACCTATTTTCCTTTGAAGTATGTAGTAGAATTTTGCTAGCATATAGTAAAGTGAAAAACCGCATGTCCCTGTGGTGCCATGCGCACGTGTAAACGTTGTTAAAAGCACTCGAAATTATATCAAAGCGAGCCGTATCGAATGATAAAATTTGAATTAAATTTTACACCTTTGTGAAAATTATATCCTCGAGATTTTGTTTTACTAATAATTGAAAAATCAACTCAATCGCTATATCACCGGTAACGGAATATCTATAATCGTTAGCGGGAATAATTTAAATCGACGTATGTTGTACACACGCGAAATGATATTTCGAAAATTCCTATATCCTTTGGATGTTCGAGTAAATTTCCACTTTCGGCCTAAACTGTATCATTTTCCAACGATTTGCTTCGACCGTGTCGAGGGACCTTGTGCACGTCGCCGAAAGGTGAAATACGCAAACCATGTGGATGATGCGAAACCTTGCCCAAGGCGCTGGAAAAACGTAGAGTTGTTGCAAAAACTCTCGCCTCGCGACACTCGCATGTCGGTCCTACACACGTTACACGACGCAAAATTGTATTTATGTACGAAAAATACGAATTTTCCTCGAGTTTGTTTATCATAAAAACTCTATATGGGACATTTCTGATAACTGACTGATATACTTTTGTATTAAATAATTTGTCATGTCTAATATTTGTTATTTTTGTATCAGTGGTAGGTGTCTATTAACTTTTTTAGGTACTACATTGTTAAAGTTATCAAATTTCAAATCTACCTTATCTCTCTTCTTAAAATGTAACCAAATAAATAGAGTATTATAGAGTCACAAAGAGGAACTTTTGCTTTAGAATGATGTTCATAAGTGTGGAACTGTTCGGGTTTCATCTACCTTTATAATACTAGCGATAGAGAAAATAATGACTCGTTCCTTCTTTGCGATTTCGATCACATTTGACCATAAATAAAGGTGATAAATTTAGCGCCGAAAATAATTTGTAAGAAAAAGACAAATGCACGGGCGCCGAGACGAGATAAGAGCACAGAATAAGAGTAAGAATCAGAGGAGTCAGCCTCACGTAAATCACGAAGACACAAAACCCACTGATAACTTTTAACCCGCCATCAGAGAACGTCCAATTTTCCTCGATAAATCTTCGGCTAATCTTGCCTAATTCAGCCTTTATTATTGTTACAGACCGGCAAGCACTTTCATCGCACCTCGCTACTCATCAAAGCTTTCAACCACAAGTTTCGACTGGATCTCGAGCTTAACACGTAAGTTACACAACTTTGAATTTATTAAGAGAAAACGGTTCCGGGCGGACGAAAACGAACGAAACTTCTTTGGAGAGTCAACTGAGCAATGATTAAATTGTATGGAATGCATTAGAGGAGCTTACAAAGTTATTGCCTTTATTGGGTTTTGCTTGTATTTAATGTTTAATTTTCGGAAGCAAATCCATTTAGCTTCAGAGTACATATCGCTGAACAAAATCAATAGTGTAAAATATTTCTTCAATAGGTGTAAAATTTTCATATTGAATTTTGTGTATCTAACAAATTGTCATTTTATCAGTTGAAATTGATGTAATATTTTAACAAAACATTTTAATTCTGATATCAAATCGAAATAAAACGAAGGATTTTATTCGGAATAACGCCATTGGAATTACTTGCGCGTTCATAACGTTTTGTTTCCATAAATATCCACATCATATATGTATAAATAAAATTGCGATTTAATCAAAATTTCCAATATAAAATCCATTCGGAATTGATCCTAACCCGTTTTTATGCGATCCGAATCGCGTCCGAAATGATGTACATTCCCATTGTGCTCTCGCCAACAATGGGGGAAAGAAAGTGTAAAACTGAAAAGTATTTTCGCAAAACCGGCACCGTCGGCCAGTTTTCCTTCCTTCGTTCGTGCTTTTATTAATAATTTCCTAGCAACAATAAATTTTGTTGCTCACGCGTTGTCAGCGCGTTGCCGTTGTTCGCTTTCGAAGGGTATTGCATGAAAAATTGCTTTCACTGCAACTTTCCTTTATCCGCTTACATGCAAGGATAGAAATATAGAAAAATCGACAAAAAAACCATCATTCGCTTTAGTTTCCAAAAGGTACATAGGTATACGTTCCATAATGATAATAAATCGAATAAACAAAAATCAATTATCAATTTTATATTGATAGTAGTGAATCGTACGGATTATGTACGAAACGTATTTTTTTTAATACATATTTCATGGATCCTTCTTGTTGGATTAACCTTTTTCAAACGTTAAAATCCATTTTCATTTCACTCGACGAGATAAGTGGGTTGAAGTACAGGAGAACGGACCATGCTGTGTAAGTAAACTTCGTTGGAGCCGTAAATCATATCAAAGATAATATAAAAGCCCGAAATCCGAGGCAAGATTCGAAACGATCCGGGACGTAAAAGAGGGCTAATAAAATTAGAGCTACAGCAAATGTTGTGGCGAGCTCGCACTCAAAGCGAAGACTCAATAAAACGTCCAATGTCACGTTTTCGTGAGGTTTGAGGTTAGTTTTGTAGTCCGAATAAATTTGACTAAATTAGGGAATACTGCAGCTTCGCTGCAGTCGCTTCTACAATTTTATCTCATCATTTCGTGCTTCGTTTGAGACTTCAGGACTTACCAGCGACAGTTATTGATTGAATCATTATGACACACGTTACAATTGAATCGCGTCTCGCGCTACAAAGTGACACATATTTTACGCGAATAATCCTTATAAAAATTCTAGTACGTACTTAATAACTACATGTTAAATATTTATGAATCTGTAACAATATTTGGGTATATAGAATTATGTACGATTTAAATAAATTTGTAGAAAGTTATGACTGCTTTTCTATTTGTTTTTCTCTCGTCTAAAAAGATTAATTTCGATAGTAGAAGCGAATTTATCGATTCGGGTTCGGCAGAAAAGCAATTTGACGAAGAATTAAGGGAGATGAGGGTCTCGTTTACAAAAACTATTGAAGCGGATTCATTAAGATGCCGATATTAGACGTTATTTATGGTAGTATCGATTAAACGAAAGTGCCAAGTAGGTTCGGAAATGTATTAAAAAGTTCAGGGTTTTAATGAATGCTTATGCGTCTATAATTATTTATAAAAGCTTCATAAAGAGGAAGAATATTTTTTTAAAGGAAGAATTATACTTTTGCCTCACTTTACACATTACTTTTAACAATTTCCTGGGTATTGTGTATACAGTAGGATATAAATAATTGTACACCTGACTTGCCCGACTTTAAAACAATTTACTCTCACCTCTCAACGCCTAGTCTCGCGTTTTTCTTGTCGGACTATCTACACCTGCACCCCTGTGTTTATGAATGGTACCTTTGGGCTTTATATACGTCTAGGTTTACATGTAATAGGTAATCTCTCAAACGTTGTTGGGCAAATGTTGAAATGCTGAAATTAGTTTCCAACCGCAAATAATAACATTCGATTACACTTTAACTTCTATTAATACTAGTAGCGTGTTAATCAGCATACGTATGAGCGATTTCTATTTCGCTTTGTGTGAGTAACATTCAGTGCAATGTAATTTTAAAGTTTAATATTTGCACTTTGTTTCACAACCTGATATGTGTATCAACCAATAATCTTTTACAATCATTGTAATGAAAATAGCCGCATATGTGTTTCGATTCAATTGCAATGGTAAACACCATTAATCATGAGCGTTACTGACTATGCACTAAAGCTAATGTAATGCATTGCGGTAATAAAACGAAGAAGTCTGTTATGTCCTAATGTTTCTATGCAAAATAATCAACATAAGTGTACGTACATAGGTATTTTAGCTAACTGCTCCAGCAAAATTCATTAGGTCCTAAAGGATTTACATTCGTATTAATAGTACCTACGTAGTATAATAACCACATGACATTTTGAATTTGCTCTGGGAAGTAAAATCCATTTAGTATTTTCTTCACTTAAATCACTTATTTTACACATTTTATTCACCAAAATCACTGACAAAACGAATAATATATTATTGTTACATTGTGTAAAATTATTCTACATCAGTCACGAATTGACTAAAAAATACTTTTAATAAAATTTACATTCACATCATAGTTAACGACTCTGTCGCCGAGTTTATGTCGGTCGCGCTTTTTGGATACTGTTCCCTCATATTTAACTTGATCAGTTTATGAGTAATAAAATGTCGTAAACTTTTTGTTGTTGGAAAAATTCCGCCGTAAAATCCAAACTGAAATTCAAAGTGGAAAGCAGCTTTTAATTATCGGCTCTGTCACTAATGGAATCATCGGTTTTAATAACGCCACTTAAAAGTTCAACTTTTATAATCACTAAAAACGTACAGTAAACGGTACTAGTATTTTAAGTTTTCTCGCGCGACTTCTGGTAAGATTTAATACAATAAGTTGCAATTTTTGTGTTTACCTAACATTAAACATATTTGATACTGTATGAATTTTTGTAATACTGATTTGGCGAGAACTCAAAGAAAGATTTATAGATTTAGAGTTAGGTTGAATGTCAATCAGTCGAGAAAATTAATTGAGCGCCCTTAAGCCGTACCTAACTATAGTAATGTTTTCAGGGTAACTATTATCACCGTTCAACCCTTGCAACCTACTTCTATAATCATAAAGTTGAACCATTTCGGTTAAATTGACGAGAGTTCAGACGCTGTGCCGATAACTTAGATATTAATTTCGCTTTAATTAAACTAAGACTTTCGCCATTTATTTCAAGGTTTCCTAATTGCTTGAAACAAGCAAATTACTTCTTAGGTAGTTAGTATATAGTTTATGGAAAAAACCGTCTGATAAAATAAAATTATTATATAATATACAGCCCGCGGTTGTAATAGCTGTATAGATACAATATTTCAATCCACAATTATTTATGCAATAATATCAAAAAAAGTAGCTTTTTATAATGCTCTGTATAGGTAATAAAAAAACAAATAATTTTAATTTGTGAAGGATCGAGTAATTAAATCATAATCGAGTAACAAAACCCGACCATCTTCTGTTTCGGCATGGTAATAAAAATGTATCGATCTATAATACAAAGGGTTAACTTCTGGATTGCTATCAACGCGAACAAATTAATTTGTAGCCTTTGGCGGGCCAATTTATCACAACCTATTTACAAATAAGCAATTAAGTTATCGTGGAAAGGGAGCGGAAAGCTCGAAAAGTGGAAAATATCCTCGACGGATGTTTTCAGATTAAGTATGCGAAGTCACGCTATGTTTTTCTAATTTACGACTTTTCATCGAAATATCGCAATATAGGCTCGTTATTTTGCGATGGAAATTTTCAGCTTCGGATTCTATCTCTTCTCTGGCCCTATTAAAATGAGTTTTTCAACGAATGAATATATTAAAAAGGAAAGCTTGTGCATTTTTATTGCTTATAAATGGATAATAAGTTAAGCGTTCCTTGACAAATTAGTATTTTATTTGTCAAGTTGAATATCAAATGAAAATTTTTGATTGGACATTTTTATTGTTAAAAAAAACTTACTATTAAAATGTTCGTGTTAAAATATTGAACAAACCCCACATTTCTCGTTAAAAAGTTTCCTCTGATTATCCCGAATTATACTGCTCTTATTGTGTTCGCCTAATGTAGCGTGAAAAGTGCATTTTAATGAACGGCTTCGATGGGAACTTTACAAACATCCTTATTTCCCAAACTTGGACGTTCTCCAGAAGAAACACGAAAATTTCATTAACTAATTACGAAAATTAAATTTCAGTAGAAAGTTGTTACAACGGAACAAAATAATCTATGATGAGGTAAATCAACAATTCGCTGCACTTTCTAAAATCTTAAATCCATCGAGTAATTGATTAATTAAAATAACGTTGAATCCGATTACAAGAATTGTTAAACATTTCATGAAGTTGTGTCCCAGGGCCTAATGGAGCTCAGGGAGTCCGTGTTCGAAATTAAATGGTCCTTTCAATTCACAATTCAATCTGTGGTTTCCGAAAACTATCTGTGAAATTGCTCGAACATTGCTCGATAATTCCCCATCATAACCAATAAATTTTTGAAACGAATTTCGTATGCGAATTTTATATCGCCAGAACGGCGTTGTAAGTGCCTAGTAAAATGCAGCTATTTTATATCTTGCGAAAAGAAAAACCTCCTATCAATCAGCGTCGCAAAAGGACCTTCCTAACCTCAACGGTGTTTCAGAGATCCTTTTTCATCCTGTCGAGCCCGCGGCGAAACGCGCTTTTCACCTAGATCTTTTGAAAAATAGACGAAATAAAACACAAATACCTCAGGGGTGAGGTCAGAGTCTTATGAATGAAGTAAACAGGCTCTAATAATTCACCACATCTTGATCCTAACAATGTTTCGGAATAGTTTCAAGATTATACGAGGACCACAACTGTCGTTAAATCAAATTTATTACGGGTAATCAATTAGGCCTCAGCCTATAAAACTCTATTATACGCATTATATGAAAATTACGTCGTTTTTGCTTCGTCCTTCTCTCGCTCTATATTTTCCGGTTACCGATGGGCCTTCACTAACAAACTTGTTTTTGCTGCTGCATGCCGTTATCAGAGTGTTTTTAGGCGAGGTGCTAAGTGGGCAGTATAGAGCAGTCAATTGATTTAGTAGTCTAAATACGTGCATTTTAATATTATCTATAGTAATACGCATACGTAAGGACTTTGGATTTCGCATAGGAAATACTATACACAATTCGGAAATTCGCGCCACAACAATAATCCTTGCGATAACCAATTAGGAATTCATTGAGTTCATCCTGAACGGAATCAATTATTGATTTGATTTAACGCTCTATCATGAATATTAAATAAGATTAAACATTATTATTATCTAATTCAATGTATTAGTACATAATTTGAAAGCAAAGTATGTTGTTATATGTTTTTATTTTTTTTATTTCAGACAATTAATAGCACCGAATATAGCCCAGAAACACTATTTACCGAATGGAGCGGAGTATGAATCGAAACGGGTAAGCACAAAATAAATGAAGATTAATGTTAGGTGTAAAATTTGCGTGAGATCGAGTTTCTTTCTTCCTAAATCTTCTTTGACATGTCAGCTTATTTTTCTATTAGGTTTCCCTCTTAAGCAATATTTTTCCCGAATCTTATTTATTAGAGGAATTTCCTTTAACGGTAAATCACCCAGTCGGTTGACCGCCGCATTTTTTGTCGCTAAGTCTTATTTACTTGTGGCATTTTCTGTTATTTAAGTGTCCAATTCATCCCATTTAAGTACTTGTGATAAAAAAAATAAATTATGCAGTGTACTTAAAAGATTACTGTTAATTAAACCTGCAAGTCCATTATTTTATCTACGTTGAGGATATTATACAATCTGGGATAAAATATGCAAGAAAACGACCACCGTCAGTTTGAAGTGGGCTGCAGGTAAAAGCCCCGACTAATTAAATTTAGTTTATCGTCCACCAATCTCCTCTAATTTGAACATTAAGCGTAAACACCTATGAATTTTAAAGAGAAGATCATCCGGAAAATTGGCATCAAGTTCCGCGCCCATTTAATTAAACAATTCTCCTTTGTCGAAGCGTCCGATTTCTACGTCACGAATCGCAAACAAATCCATATTGATTTGCTAAAGTGATGCGGCGTCGAATGATTTAAAAATTTTATTTAGGTATATTCAATCGCCCAAATAAATCGTTTCCTTCGAACTTAATCCATCACTATTCACCGACAATGATTTTATTCAAACGACTAAACCCGACTCGGCATACGTTACACTAGCTCAATTGCATTACTTTTGCCTCGGTCAACACGCCACTTTCCAGCGCAAAGGGAACCTTCAATTGACTTTTGCATTCATTTAGCATAGTCAGGCGATAACTAATCGCATTTCTGATGCTCTATACTCGTCTCATTAATGCGTTAAATTTCTTTGCAGGACATTGAACATTGTTACTATCACGGCACCGTCAAGGATTATCCCGGAGCAACGGCGGCGTTCCACACCTGTAACGGAGTTAGCGGAGTCATCCACGTGGGAAACGAAACGTTTGTTATTCATCCGTTCTACGGTGGAGATCTCTCGGTCAGTATCCTTAATTTTAATTGCTAATTTAATTATTTACGTTTGTTGGTTCTCCATCTTTATACAACTCTTGTCTATTCAATTTGTTCTAGCGTAATTTGTACCTACAAGAACTTTATAAAGTTTGGTCGAGTTGATAGTACAAGCGAGTTATAATATAATAGCGCCAGTTTAAGTGTACTCCTTGAAAGTTCCTTAGGCATTAAAATGTCCTTCAATTGATAGTATGGGCATATCGGCGATTGGAAAAATTTGAAAGTATGATTTTGGGAAAGGCGTTCGCACATAAAAATAACATATCGTTTTGAATCGCTCTGATTACCATATCGCCAGACATAACTCATTCACAAAGCTATTTTAACATTCCGAAATGCCATCCTTTGCGAGGTGAAAACACGAAAAATATGTAAATCAGAATGTACATAAAAACCTGCCTAACTTAGTGTATTTTGCGAAACTTCATAACGGTGGCTCGCAATCGATAGATTGACTGTTTCGTCGTGAAAGAGAATAAGGCGAAGTGGCTGAACGCCTTGGGTAGCTAACATGAAAACGACTAAATTGAAAAAGTTGTTCTCCGCTCGGTACACATTCTAGGCAAATTCGATTTCGGGGTTAGTCCTTTCCATTTTTCTCGCAATATCTCGAGTTGCTGACCGAACAGGCACTCGAAGAGTGTAAATTTGACTTTCCGTTTCCAAGATGGTTTATCCGGAGAATCGAACGGGAAAATCTATATAGCGTAGCCTTTTTATCTCGCTTTTAGTTCAGGTAAACTGTTGAATATAAAACATTTCCTAGGCCAATTCTGAACGACAAAAAAACAACCCGAAAGCTGCATTTCACAGCGTTTCACTGTTCCAATTTCGATTAACAGTGTTTTTGCTTAGACAACAAAATCCGGCACAATAGATTGCGATGACCTCTCGCGCTCGTTTCAGTAATTACGGCCGGACGAGTACAATGGAATGCGATCCAGACTCCTCTTCACGAATCTGGTAAAAACAAATAAGCTGCTCCTCCTTTGTGGCGAATAATTACTGGCCGGTATGCTGATGACCAGCCGGAATTCAAATGTTGGGTCGATTGTCTGGACTTGACGTGCTGTTTTTTTGTTATTATGGACGCTGATCTAATTAAAAATTTCGCATTAAACATGGAATATTCATTAGGTATTACCAGCCCCTCGACATTTCATTCGGGGACTAATTAAAGAATCGTCTAGCTTTAATTGAAGTAATTATTGTGCGGTTAAAGAGATATCTAATGTTTTGGACGGAATCGAACGAAAATTACGCCATAAAATTAGTAATTACACTGGGAAATTTCAGCGGTCTGGCCCGTAAAGGCGAGTTTTCCGTTGGACGAGAATATTAGAAACAGTTTAGGTCGGTCGTAGGAAAAAGCGCTAATGCTAGCTAATTTAAGTTTAAAACTTTATCTAACCGGCCATAATCGTTCGAACAACATTTCCAAACTGGAATTGGGGATTGCAAACGGAAATTAGCAAACTTAATCTGAAAAAGGGTCCACCAGGTCTGACCGGTCATGAGTGAGAAATTATTAAAATTCTCGAGTTCGCCATTATCAATTAAAATGTCAATCTCCGGCGCGAATAATGCGAAATATAACAACCTCACGCAAATTGGACGCCATAAATTTCTACATATTTGTGTAATGTTGATATCAGATTGAATGGGACGCACGTATGCGGATTAAAACCTTATTTCCGCTGAGAAAATTGCCTAATTGGGGTATGTATGAATTACTCTGGAAATCACGAACGTCCATTTTCATTTTCATGTTTAATTTCTGTGTCCATCTAACAAAATACTAAAGGAACAACTAAAGGTCTACCCTCAGGTATACAATCTACGATCTCAGAATTGTTATTATAATTGAACAATTTCTCTCTAAATCAATGTATTGAGACGTATATATAATAGCTTCTAGATTATCGCAGCCGTCTACAGCACATCCTTCATTTCCTGTATACCAAGTCCGGCCCTTTTCTTATCTTCTCCCGTGCTCCCGCAGGGCTATCAGTGTAGGCCTGAATAATCGGCATAATCCAGTTTTAATAGGCACGCTGGCGTGGATCTAATCGAGGGATTGAGACGGATACTTTAACAGGAAAAGAATGTACACAAAAGGGTCTCTAGGAGCACACTGGAACGTTTGTACGATGTGGATAAATTCATCTAGGGATTTGTTCAATATTTCATTAGTTTCAAATCGCCCCTAATGAAATTCAATTTAACTACCTAACGAATTCATACAATTAATCATCGTTTACAGGTCAATTATAATTGCGTAAAGGGTACCGAAGAATGCTATTTAGAATATGAAATTCAATTAATTACCTCAACTTTTAATGATCGCATGACGGAGGTTTGATTTAATTGGCGCCTGTCAACAGTTTTGAAAAGGTCCTTTTTAAAGCTACTAACAAGCTTCTAATCGTATATCAGATTTATAAACTCGATTTATAAATTCAACTACCTTAACACCTACTTGTAGATTCCTCAGTCGTTAATAATTTTGTAGGTTCACTTTTACTTCTTCTTCGTCCTTTTAAGTAGTATTTTTAATCATATTCCATACCCCTTGTTATCATTCCATTCCGTACCATCTACCAATCTTGCTAAAAGAGAAAATTACAAACGTTCTTCTCCAGCTCCTTTCTAACCTAATATGACTGCACAGCTTATGTTTTTTCAGCAGAAGCATCCACACGTGATATTCGAAGCCCGCACCAAGGCCAGCAAGGGTTGCGCCAACTCCGGCAACATGGAATGGAGGGTGAACCCGCACTCGGGGTTCTTTCCGTTGAGGGAAAAACGGGACGTCAGAGACGCCATTAAGTATATCGAAACGGCGCTGGTCATCGACAAGGCCATGTTCGATAAGAGGAACGGAAGCACAAGGAACGACGTAGTGCACGATTCCATCCAAGTTGCTAACATCGCTGATCTTTATTTTCGAACGTTAAATACCAGAGTATCCGTAGTGTATGTTGAAACTTGGCAAGGTAATAATACATTTCAGGTACCTACGAATTAGAATTGGATAATTTTTCTTTTGCCAATATACTTACAAATAAAAAAAAACATCATTAAAAGGACTATTACTACTACAAGCTACTACGAGGATGTATTATATGTTGTTACGTTTTATTCGTAGGCTCCAATCAAGTAAACATTAATCCGCAAGACGATATTAGCAAAGCTCTCTCTAATTTTAACGATTACTCCACGCGGAAACTCTTCAAAGTCGATAAGGATACCACTCAATTACTTACCGGGGAGATTTTCGTTGGCGGTGAAGCCGGAATTGCCGTTCCTGCGACAGTTTGTACGAGCAAATCAGTCGGAATTAGCGTTGATATTAACACCTACGAGCCCCACTTGCTTGCCGGAACTATGGCGCATATGATAGGTATCGTTGTTGACAATTCACGCATACCGAATTTTCTACTGAATGTTATTTTTGTGCAGGCCACAACATCGGAATGGGTCACGATGATGGAAGAGAAGAGTGCTCGTGTAGAGATTGGCACGGCTGTATCATGGCGCAGGCCATCGTTGGGCAAGATAACGTCCAACCATATAAGTTTTCAGAGTGCAGTAAGGAGGATTATATAGATAGATTAAGGACGGGAAATGGAATCTGCCTTATGAATAAACCAAACGAGCTTACGGTAAGGAAATCCCTTTGATTTAATGCACATAAACTTTCGTTTATAGAATACGAATGATCGAACATTGGGGTAAAACCGCTATACTAGATTTAGGTGAATATGGACTTTTTAATTTATTTATTTTTTGTAACACAGGATCGCCGAACCTGCGGCAACGAAATTGTCGAAGAAGGTGAAGAATGCGATTGCGGCAGCATCGATAACTGCCACAAAATAAATCCTTGTTGTGATCCAATAACATGTAAATTAACCAAAGAGGCGCAATGCGCTTCGGGTGAATGCTGTGAGGACTGTCAGCTGAAAGGAAAAGGGGTGGTTTGCAGGGAAGCGACGAACGAATGCGATTTGCCGGAACATTGTTCAGGAACGTCAGGAGAATGTCCTGCAGACGTGTACAAGAAGAACAGCAGTCCCTGCGAGGAAGGTGTTGGACAATGCTTCAACGGAATATGCCCCACATTGAACGTGCAATGTGAACACATTTGGGGAACAGGTAATTTCTAAAATATACATTGTTCCCATTATAGTACACATTGTTCCCTTCTCTGCAGGGGGAAAGGAAGCCGACATTCAATGCTTCGAGCATCTCAACCCCAAGGGATTAATTAACGGACATTGCGGGGGTGACAACAATGGTAGATTCGTTAAATGTTCACCGGAAAATATAAAATGCGGTTCGTTGCAATGTCAACACGGTAGCAAATATCCTGTAGTAGAAGGTTTGGACCAACCACAGGATCACTCTAGAACAATAACTACTATAAAAGGGCGGGAATACGAATGCAAGTAAGTTGAGACAAATTTTATTAATAGCCCACTGCATGAACTCGTAGTACTCGTAAAAAAGTGCTTTATTAGAAAAATAAAAAAAGTATAAATTTATTATTATCATTATCTTTAGACAGTATTGCATTAGTTTATTACGAAATTAAAAGTAAGTACGTTAGTAACAGATTAGAATTTAGTAAAATAGTAAAATTTAAAATTCGATTGGCATAAAAAATACGGTAGCCCTTAAATCCCTAGATGTATGTGCATATATTTTGCGAAACGTAGTTTAACCCAATTGTCATAAATAATAGATCTATCCACAGGACGACGACCGGCAGAAAGGACAAGAATGATCCGAGGACATCCGATTTAACGTTCCTCGGGCTAGTACAAGACGGAACGCCGTGCGGAGAAAATCTCATTTGCCTTAATCAAACATGCACCAGTATATTTCCTTACATCAAACAAGAAAAGTGCCCGTCGAATTTAGCTAGTGTAGAATGTTCCAAGAACGGGGTAAGTAAATTAAAACCGAGTTGCGGCATTGCGACCGATAATATTCGGTTACTTAGCGATTCAACGGCGCGAAAACGACTACATTGTGTCAATAAACTTATTACGTTACGAAAACTTTACGGACGCATTCGCCGTTAAAATTCTAATCAGATTTTTCAATGAAACTTTTCCGGAACTTGTTCGAAACTACTTACTTAAATTTATCCTTCAACTACTCGTAGCTCATTTGCGTATCGCATGCTCGCTGAATTTTGAAGAACACCTAGTATTTGAGTGAAAAGTTGGTCTATTCATATTGCGATTATTTCACTCGAAGCATTAGCCATTTTCCGTTTGAAAAGTTCTATTATTACAATTACAATGTTAACGTTGATGATTATTGAAGACGACTGTTTTAATGGTAATTTCAGTTTTGCACGAACGAAAACAAGTGCTACTGTAATCCGGGGTATACTGGTTCCGATTGCTCAATACAATTAGAAGAAATTCCCACACCTCCCGCATCAACGTCGACACCTTCGTTAGGTTCCAGTAATCTGCAAGACCAAATGAAAAAGAAAGAAACCCCCTACGGTAAGTCGTTATTACATATTTTTAATTATCTTACCCGAATTGGAGAAATTTTAAGCGCGATATTCCAACGAAAACCACAATTTAAAGGCTGAACTTGAATCCTAAATGTTTGAATGTTTGCATTTAGCAACGTTGTTTATTTAAGAAAAGGAACTGTATGATTCTCATTTTGTAGGTAATACGTTATTTTTGCTGATTTTTGATTCCTTCATCAATTTCTGCAGTGATTTTATACGGACTATCAAACATTAATGGTTCAAGTACATAAGTAAAAGATGCGCTTAAAAATCTTCTTAATCCTGTAAGTGAAAGAGAACTTAGCAACAACAGAACAGTGATATACTTCAATCAGAAATGATAATAGTGCATAAATGAAACAATTTTTATGGATTTAACATTCTCTTTGGCTTACGTTTATCGGCGAAATATTCAGTACTTACACAGCAGTAGTAGCAAAATCACTGCATATAAACATCGCAAAGAATTGAACACTTGACCAGTGATCGAATGGTGGTGATAAAATTCACACCCTACATGGATCAACGTCACGTAAACGTCGTTGTTTCGCAGATGCCGACAATGCTGACAACCTGAGCACGCTAGCCATGGTGTTCATCTTGGTAGGCGTCGTGAAGGGTGTCTTCATTTGTTTCGCAATAGTGGCCGTTTGCTACAGGTACAGAGAGTTATGTATTGTTACGTACAGTGTGCCTATAAGTGTTTGGTTAACTCTGTTTTTTAACCGAGCAAAAGTGATGTTTGCAGTGTATTTTGTATTTTATATTATAGGCTTGGATTTACGTCATTTTTTTTCGATGGATTTGCGTCGATATCGAATGAGAAAATGTACAGTTTCGTAATGATTTGAAAATGGAATTATCGCAATAATTCGATTTATATATGAGCACATAATACATTAGGAATACTGTGTTTGCCTACACATTAAATAGGTTTTATGGTAATTTCATTTTCATTAATCCAATAACACATCCAACGAACCTATAGTGGTTTTTCATTTTATATCGACAAGTAATAACTATACATATATTTTATCTTCTTGTGTAATTCGTACTTATAGTGTTCTAATGATATGCTGTGTGTACTGTATATACATTTAAATTTTGTGGTTAACGTGTAAATACGAAGAGAAAGGCGACGTTTACCGTTAATGCTAATGCTTAGGCATCGCCTGATCGATCAATGTTGCATTGATTGCGGTTCAAGTTCAAATTGAAAATTTAATTTAGCCAGAAATTCAACGCCGGTTGGCGACTCGTCTGAATTTAATCCAGAAAATTTGTTTATCCTATGATATTGATTCAGGAATTGAGCATTACGGGATTTTTTAGATTTACTGGTGCTGTTTGAAAATGATTAAAAAGAGGTTTCAGAAAAATAAGGAGTAAACTAAAAAATATGTAAATTATGCTGAATTAAAAGAAATAAATTATTTGAAAAAATACGAATCACGAAGGACCTATTAAAGATTCATAAAAAATCATTTAAGAATTTTTTCATTATTAAAGTACAATTACAGATTCAATTTCGTAGGATACTTATTTTCTTTCAAGATTTCTGATGAATTGAATATTGATTAATAAAAACGATGTCTAAAATATTAGCGAATAAATATCAAGCTTAAATCAGTCTTCTTTTGTAATGAAACTCAATTTATCAAAACAAATTTATTTAATTTTCATTTTCATTCAATTAAAACTCAGAAACACAGTCCAATAGGCTCATATGAATGAGCTTGATTTATAAATGCGTCTCGCAAGATGGTTTACCTCAAAAATTCAATAACTATAACCAAAAATTTACAGCACTAAAACCCTATCTACACGTTCTTTTTAATAAAAATAATTTAAACAAGCCAAGTAATTGAGTGGCATAGAATTGAAGAAGAAGAATTTATTAAAGAACCTTATTAAATGACAGCGGCAGTCCATTTTGCGTGAGCGTATTCTAATCATCAGCAGGATACATAGGTCTATTGGATCTATTTGGAAAAAGTAGCATTCGAGAAGACACGATTTAAAGGCTTCAATGAATCATTCGCCAGCATTGTGTCTTATCTGGTGCTTTCCTTCTCCTCTATGTGTCTGTCTTCGCCTGCTGTGTATGTGCATGCGATGGCTGATGATCACCTGACAACCGTGGATCCCGTCCGATCACGTCCGATCACGTCTGATCACGTCCAAATTGCGGCCGATCCATCGCACAGAGGACTATCACGGCTCGAACACGGTCTTTCTAGTAAGCACGCTCATGTCGGTGGTAGGGGGTGTGTTCGTGGTATTTGCTACTATGGCCCTTTGCTACAGGTCAGTCGTAGTACACAAAAACTTCTCGCTCTGTCTAAGGTTAGTGCGCAGGCTATACCAGGTAGAAATCCACGTTTTTTTCTCAGCATCCGTAAATGATTTTTCATTATTGCGATATTTGTTTTTTTTTTGTATTCTATGTTGAAGAGACGCTTGTTCAGTTGCGTTATTGCGCCCGTCCCGACGGGATGTTGGGAATTTTTTTAAAACTGAAACTCTTCTTTTGACATACGTCTCTCATCTTCCGATTTCTTGTTGTGTTCTTGTATCGATATGCTGTTGTCTTCATGACTTTCCGAAATGTAGAAACTAAATTATACAGCTTTCTTTGGCTGTGTTTTGTAATGTAACAGAAGCATGGCTTAACAGCACTTTTGTTTTTTAATATACCAAAATAACACATTCAAAAAAATGAAGACCATAATTGGCACATAATAATAATAATTATCTTGTAAATTACTGACCTAATAAACTAAAAGAGATTTCAGTTTTACATTCCTAGCAAATTAAAATCAAATACATGAACTTAAAAACATTTTTTCAGTTGCCTTAAAAAGCTAACTAGTTGCCTGTAGCTGTAAATTTTGCTGATGAAATTATAAAGGCTTCAGAAATGCAATCACAAGAGCTAAGAAGAAATAATAGAAACGGATTTTGTTTGTTCCAATTCATAGAGAACCAAATGAAGAAGTTAAAAAAAAACATTTCACTGATTATTTTGGATTCTTTGGGTGTAATCTTAATTTTTCAAATCGAACATTAATTAAATGTCTAACAAAATGAAAGTAAAACTAAAGGGTGTCTAAATTTGAAACATTGTCCAAAGTCTGCAGAAATAAATTTCAATTAGGACTTTCAATGGACTTGTTTTGGAGAGCCGTTTCCGTAAGCAACCGGGAAGGGATATTAATTTCCTGAGTTTCGAAATTAAATTGTCGAATATTGATTTTCTGCATAATTTCACTGGATTTCTGTAATTACTTTCCTCTCGAAAAAAATAAATTAATAATACTTTACTAACTTAAGCGAAAGGATAAGAGTCTATTTAAAGTTTAAAAAAATGATGTGAATATCAAGACTTCGGTCAAATGTAGTAACTTCTATAGTCAATCAAATGTGATTATCAAATAATTAGGCATGAAACAAAAAATACTTAAGACTTCGATAAATACGAGGACTAGGTACATAAAAATAGTCTTTATCTACCTATATTTTATAATTAATTAAATAGCCAATGTATCTGGAATTTGTATAAATTATCCCAAGCTTGAAAACTTATAAAAACCCCCTCCCACCGTTTGAAAATGGGATGCTGCGGAAAATTGTAAACTAAAATATTGAACGTTTGTACCCTTTGCACGATTTTCTTCATTAATAAAGCATGATGCATGTAGATATTACTAGGAAGTTAGAAAGTATTATTTAATTACCTGTACTTTTAAAATAGCTGTGAAAGGTAAATTATGAATTATTTGGAGAACGATCAGATGGCAAGGCTTAAGTTTCTTCAGGAATTGAATAAATGCTAAAAAGAAAATATTCTAAACTTGTGAAACAAGCAAAATTAAATGAGTTATTTATAACTTTCCAGCAAAATAATTTAAAACTAACAGTCTGCTAAATTGTTTACTAATTAGGTTCAAATGTTGATAACTGGAAACAAAGCTTTTACGGAAACTTCATTTTATCCTGGAGTTATTTGTTCATTATAAAGTAAACAGTATTAAATTTAAACATAAAATAATATTTTCGGACTTCTGCATTGCCTATATTATAAAGGCAAATATATGAATGTTTACTAGCATGTTATTATGCATGTTTATTATTTATCTATTTTAATTTTTTTTAATGGATATGTGTGCAGAGTGTTTGATGTTTACCATTCCAATTTCCTATTTTTACACCACATTTTCTCACAATTAATAATTCCGCTTTTAATTAGTCTTAAATTTAGATTGAGAACTAATACTTTATTTCGTTTAAAATATATTAGAATTTTTTTGAAATGATAAATTAGCCAATTTCTAATATGTTTTAATTGGTTATTTTGCTATTCAACACGTTTCTACACAGATTTCATAGATTCAGACTAATTTTAGAGAAAATAGAACAAGTTTACACAAAATTCCTGTTATTCGACAAAGAGGAACCATAATCTATAGCATGATTATCCTTTGTAATATAATTTATATAACGAAGTAAGAAATTAAATAAAATTCATATAACTTGAGTGTGTTACTACAAAATAAAAAGTATATTAATGTAAGCGAAAATATTTTTTGTGCTTCAAGAAATCTATTGCATTCAAAAGTATAATATCTACTCACGTTATACGAATCACCAACTTGACGTAATTCGCTATTAATACGGTTATATTGTTCTTTTCTCTTCCTTCACTTCCAAATAAAAATTAAAAATGGAAGGAAAACAACCGTTAGTAAATATGAGAAAGAATATAAGAAGCCGATACCCAAAAACTACGTGATGACTGGCAACCATTCTCAACAAGACTGTTTAGATAATACTTCGAAGATTCTGACGCTAGGTCCTGGAAGTGTGACATCGTTCGGGTAAGTCCTGCCAGGTTTATTTTATAAGGATGAATAATTTTTCTTTTTACAACGCTTTTAATACTAAAGTATAATGAATAAATATGTACCTACTATAAACTCATAAATTTTCCTGATAAATACGTATAATTTTAAAATGACAATGAAAGGTATTAGCAGCGTTCTGGCTGGAAAATTATGACACTCGTTTGCTTTTCACTTCATCAATTCGCATTCGAATTCACCACATAAATCCACCTTGTAAGAATGTTGGGCGAATATGGAAGTAGTCGTTTTGTAATTGTAGACGAGTATTGCATTTTAGAATTTTTGATGAATGCGTGTGAATTCATTAGAGTAGTCTAGTTGTTGAATAAAGCCATTGTTATACATACATTTTCTTTAAAAACTTTCGTACATCGAACGGTGGGTTTTTAATGAAAATTTTTTGGTTTGTTATTTGTTTTGTCGGGGGACATTGATAAATGGTGAAATGTTCATTCCAGAGTGAAAATTGAGTAAATAATTGACCAACAAAACAAAGCAAAACAAAAGTCGTAGGTTCATGCGAAGGAGCAGTTTCTAATATACAGTAAAACATTTCTATATAAATTACCTATAGAATAGAATTGGGTTTCGGTAACATACTGATATATGAACTGTGTATTGTTCAGTTTAGTGGAATTTTCACTAATGTTTCCTAATTAAACATCCCTTCTTTATTCATCAGGTACATGTTTAATTTGTTCGGTTTTGCAATTTCAATCTTCTAACTTGGGTAAATCGAGAATAGTACATTGCAGCATTTGTGCAGTTTCATCTGGGAATTCTAAACTAAATCTCCATATTAACCTAGCTCCTGGCAGGATCGAAACTAATTTCACATTTATTGTTTATTCTCTCTATTCGTTAGACATAAGTAATAATTAGTATTTACCAAATTTAGGTTCCTGCTTTTTATTCTACAAATAATACTTATAGTTTCAAACTAAATACAGAGGAAATAGGTGGTCTGTTTAATTAATTTCTAGTTCAAACTTTGTTCATTTGTAGACATTTATTTTAATTAAGTAGTCATGCAAATTTATTTCTGTATTGAAATAACTACATACCTATACTACCAGCTAGCACCTTAATATAAACGTAAATTATTTAATTAAACTCATATGATAATAAACCGAATTTAACAATAAATTCTTGGTGGAAAAATTGATTCAAACAACAATAAATACAAAAATATAAATAAGCTCATATGTATACAAATCTATGAGAGAACGTAAAAAACCATTTTTATTATATTCTTATTTTTCTGTAAATGCAAACGCAGTCAATATGTTACCGATAAAAATGTATACATTTTAATACTACATAGATGCTATTAATTTTTATTTATCGATAGCCGGGCTGACTCACAAAGAGTATTGTTCCGTCCTTCCAATCATATGGGTGCTGCAGGTGCAGGACAATTCCAGTAAGTACTCTTTAAATACACCTTCGATAACAAAATTGCTATGTGAATGTGAATGTGATTTTTCAGGGACCACAAAATGCAACAAATTAAACGAATGGGAGTTGGATCATCCAGCGGAGATGAGGACCAAATACACTCAGGTAATTTGCACACGTCTGCAGGTATATCTATTTGAATTGATAAAATATTTGCCCGCCCTCCTGAGAACCCTCATTATACGCCTGATATTTCTTATAAAGGTGAAGAAGACATTATGTCGTTTGTAGACCTTCAGCACAATAATCTCAAATTGCCCGAAAAGAAAGGTATTTTAAAGAAGCACGACTTCGGCGTCATCATGATGGGCGACAATAAGGACAATTGGATCCAAAGCGAAGACGCCCTCAGCCAGATCGACATTAACATGGCCCAGTTGCTGGGCGGCTCGGGTCCCACGGACGTCGAGCGCACGTTGAAAACGTTGAACGGCTACCACGAGGACATCGTCAAGGCGCTGAGGAACGCCGCCTCTTCGCACCGGGGCTCCGCCACGCCGAGCGGCAGCACCGGCGCCTTGAGCGAAGAGTTGCTCAGACGGAGTCTGGCGCAATGCGCGGAGAGCTTCACCGACTACAAAAGAAGCGGCAGCAAAGAGAACGTTTGCGAACAACAGGTTAGTTTGATTTGTGTATAAATTTAATTATTTAGGGACGTATTATAATGAATTGAGATCCAACTAACGGTTTTATTGGGGTAATAATTGCGATATATCAACGATATAATCAAATTCAACATTATCAACAGTAAAAATCCTGATCATTTATAGTCATTCGGTAGAATATTAAAAATATTTTATGTGATTCAATATTTTTTATTTCCATATAGGTCTTTATACTAATTAAGCCTAAGGTAATTTTTCTAATTCATTTGAATCACGTTTTGTTACGAAGCACTCGCTTTAGAAACATTTTTGTACTCGAAACACCTCTATTTAATTATGTTTACACAGATCTCACAAACTTTCACAAAAAATTACTGTAGAATCAGTAAAAAGCCGAAAGCAATTTTAGTTGATTAAATCCATCAAACACAAGCATTTATTCCAGGCTTGTGGGTACACAGTAGCTCGCGCAAAACATCAGTCTGTGCGAGCTCTACTGTATTACATTCGTTTGCATATATCTAACTATATTTCATTACATTTATCCCAATCCGAAGACATGATAATTCTATCTGCAACATATTTTTTATATTAAATTGTTACACAGGTGGTAATAGAGCACGAAGACGAAGAAGAAGAAGACGAAGTCCCTCCGTGCGGTCCCATCCGCATACGCAACTTAGAAGATTTGATCAGACAACTCGAACACCATTCGAGTCGATCGCGTCACATGAGTCCCAGCGGTTCCGAGGACATTCGAATGTCCGAAACGGAGGCCGACCGGCATTATCGACAAGAATCTTCCTCGGCGTGCAGCGAGAGCTCGCACCAATCCCAAAGGGAATCGCGTTTCATGTACGGCCGTTTTAGGTGAATAACCATACAATAGACTGTCAGAGAACATCAGCACTATTGTTGGAGAAATCAACAGTATCTCTGGTTCTCTGATTGTCGGTATCGTTCAGTTAATAATCGCATTTATCAAATTTATGTTCGCAGACAACCTTCGAATCGATTGCCTTATCCCCATCCGCACAGCCATCACCAAGTCGAGGAGGAGAGTATTTACGAATCGGCGGATCAAGAAAGAGGAGGTCCTTGTGGGGATACCCCTGATAGCGAAAGGTTTCTACTTTCATTTGACATCATGCGATATTGAAGTATAAACTTGAATCTTTTTTAAAGCGACGACTTCATCCAGTCCCGGCAACAGCTAGCTCGTTGGGCTAGCGAAGAGGCGATAGGTGTAGTCCAAGCGGGTCCGAGCAGCGGCGCCGGCATCGCCCTGCCGCGCGACTATTCTCCGGGCAGTTCGACCAGCGAGGAGCCCCAGAGCATCGCCCGGGCGCCCGTGCCCATACCAGGCGGGCACGTGCCGCTGCCGGTGGGCCACGTACCGCACCCCGACCACGCGACCATCCACAGGCCGAAGCGCTATCCGGAATATAAACACTGATAGTGACTCCCGAGCGCCTGGGGGGCGCTGTTTTCGCGTAGGCCCGACATTGACATAGCAACGTACACTCCCGCTAGATATTTCGACAGCATGGCGACGCTATCGTTGCCGAGACGAATGGGTGCTCAATTGACCGATAGCGCTATTTGAATATTCGATGTTTTTAATTTTTGTACAACAAAAGCGATTTTCGACGACTGCGAGTGGCTTCCACGGTTGACTACGTTATATTTTTAACCCAGAATTTAAGTATCGAGCGCAAGTGGGACCTGCAGAGAAATGTTTAATTAGCAGTTAATGGAACAAGTACAAATTCACGGGGAAATCATACAGTGTAGGGCGCTACGCAAATGAGCAATAAATGTGTATTCGAGTGTTTCCGAAAAATAATGTTACCAAAAAATTCAGGTATTATTCATAAAAATCCGTGCTGAATTAACCGCTATACTTGACAAAATGTGTACATAATATTGAAATATTGAAAAGTTTCTACAAAGTGACGTGTACTTTTTTTTGTATGAAAAAATATTTCTCGAAATTAAAAACGTAGCTATCGAAAGTACCGTTTTTGTACAATTTTTACACGTTTATTTTATTTACATATCTTCAAATAACATTATGAAACATTGTTGCAAGCTCGATATTTGCGTGAATTATAGCATTTTAGAATAAAAAAATGAAAACCGAAATACATTGTCATAATATTCAATAGACACAAAATACCTACTTCGATATATTATTCAAAATAAAGGAAAATTTTTCGAAAATTATGCATTTCGATATAAATAAGTTACTTTTGTAACTACTAAAAAATGTACTAACATGTCAGTATATTTTCTATCATTTCTAATGAAATTATTTTTATTCATAAATTTATGTGTAGACTGGCAGACTTGGATGTAGAAACTTTTGACGTGAGCTTTTGTATTCGTTCAGTTTTGTTAAAAATGATTATCAAACCATTTTGCGTGCATTATTTTCTACTTGGATCTTAAGTTATTTTTTTCGATTTGGTTATCATTTATTAAATATTATCAGGAAATTGAATTCTCTCAATTATTTACAAAACACCTGAAATGTATAATTTTAATACTAGACATGGTATTTGATTTGAATAGTATAGGTACATGAATATACCTACAGAAATATTTCTGCCAGCATATGCAAGGTGATTCCTAATTGCAGGTAAAAAATGAAACGGTGTATTTATTTAATATTCTGAAATGTCTAGTTAAATATCTGCTAATGCTTGATTTTACAGCGAAATGCATTTTTCGCAAACTAAACTGTAAATCTCAAATATTTCTAATATTTGAAATTTTAATGAGAATTACAGCACTTTCTTAATACAAAAATAATTCAGGATATTATTGTTGAAAAATTTTTCAGACTTATAATAAATATGTATCTTGAAAATGAAGCGTTTCTCATCAATTTTTTTAAACACGATTTAATTTTTTATGGGTTTTTAGCAATTAACTTTGCAATTAACATTGTCTATTGAATATTTCCTTTTATTTACGCAATGCAAATTTTTAAATAAACACCGTGTATACACAAAATAATTTTGTATATTGTAAAAATCGAATAAATCAAAATAAATCTTTAATTAGAGCCCCATCGATTCGTCTCGTAGATTTAGCATTATCGATTTCGAACAAATAGCATTTTGTACATAATATTTATTAGGGAAAATCACCAATGAATTCAAGCGTTGGTCTAAAGAAATGAAATTCTAAAGCGTTTTAGTGTAAATTATATTTACTAAAATAGATAGAGTAAATCGCGTGTCATCAAAATTAGAGGACAAAAAATAACAAATGTAAAATTTTCTTAATCGTTAAAATCTTTTATTATTTATATGATAACTAACTTATACGTATTAAAAGCCTTTTTATTCACTGTGAAAAATTTAATGTACCTACTACAGAATTAACTTGAAACACGAAGGTCGAATTCGCAGTACTTATCCAACAAATTATATGTACATATTTAACTATGCTGTGGTTAATCAAATTCTTTCCCAATTTCTTTGGATTTTTTTTTTCGAATTAAATTCTCGTCGAACTGTACATACAGACATAGAATGAACAGAAACTGCCAAATTATTGATTATCCGCCTGCGTCTCGACGGTGTTATTTCGTTATTTTGTTTTCTCGAATTTCGATGAAGCGATTTCCTCAGTTGAGCGCGTAGTTAGGAAGTGTAAAAAGGTTCGAAATTGGTGCGTGCCAACAAAAAAATTGAAACAAGACTGACAAATAATTAAGACATTTTAAAAGAAACCTCGCTTGCCGGTGCGATACGGACGTCTACGCAGTGTTGACAGTGTTAAGTGTTGTGCAGTGCAAACTGCAAATGACTGTAATAATTGTTAAATATATTATAATAAAGAAACAAAACAAAAAAAACATAAACTATGTAATATTCGATGCGCAACCGATGCTCGATTTGTGCGAGTTACAACCGCATTGCCGTGCGTCATATGTGATACGCGTGTCATAGAGATATCAACTCGAAGAAGAAAAGCAATTTTTTATACGAACATTCCCGAAAGTCGCCCTATGGATTTTTTCAAGCGCTAGAAAGGCGACAGCATTTCCGGCTTTATAAACTGCATTTTAATCCTACCTCATTTCTCATATCGTACCCTCAAAAAGATTATACTTTATCGACAGTTCTTAGATCACTTACAGCAACCAATGGTAAATACTTCTATGCAATTGAAAAAACTATGGGATCGACTTCTATCGCAGCAAAACAAATAATGAATTAGTATATAAAGCGTTTATCAATAGAAACAAATCGCAACCGTTCTTCTTCGAGTAGATATGATGACTTGCGCCGAAGTAGCGCATGCATAATTCTAAATTCGAAAGTACCTAGGTAAAATGAACTTGTCACATATCAAAAGTTATTTGTGTTTAGGAAATATTGTTTAATCTATGGGTAATACTTAACTAGCCGAATTTATATCGACACTAATCCAAGCGAGCCATTCTATTGTATGGAGTTTTGATTTAAATTCGGTTTATAACTTGCATGAAGTCGATGTAAATAGCACCTAATGTATGTGTTTCGTTCGATTCGTGTAAATAATTGATATTGCTGATATGTGACTAGTTTATCGTTATGAACAGTCCCGATTTTGCCTTAGTTGTAAGCACTGTTGTTCCTTTGGTCGTTAACACGAAATTTAGTATATCGAACGACGAAACGCAAATTAGTTAATTTTATAAAAAAATTCGTATCTTGTAAAAAAAAGTCTAAAAATACGATCGCGTAAACTACGAGTAATTTTAAATGATTTTTATCGTTACTTTTTCACCTGCACAGAATTTTTCATTACCTAAAACACAAATTACTACGTTAGGATACAAAAGATACAGCAAATGGGCAAATTATTAATATGGCTCAAATTTTATACGAAATGTTGAATGTGGAGCAATCTAATATGTATTATTAATTAGTATACCGTTAATTTTCTGGTTCATTAATAATTGTAAACTTTTTTGAGCAAATCGATTTGGTATTACTTACATCCAATTGAAAAAATATGCTTTATAAATAATAATATGGGTGATAAAAATAGCGAATCAAAGAAAACCATTATTATGGCCTAACACCATTTGGGATTTAAACCGATTGATTTAGTGCAATTGGTTATTATAATTTACGCACGGGAAAGCCAGGTCTTGCGTACCTAAAGGGTGTTCGTAAACTGCCCTCATTAACTAGACTATATCGAATTAATCGTAAAACTACCGAAAGAAATCAGTTTTTTAAATACACTTTTATTTCTTCTACCCTTCGAATTAATCTATTTTGTCTGTATCTTTGCTCCTGATTGTCTCGAAAAATGTAATGGGATTCTGTGCGTCTAGGCCATAGGAACGAATTTTGCTCACTACGTTCTTACGAAATCTTTCGGCGACGAAACGATTTTTTTATTGTAGTTCGTAAGTTAGTTACAAATTCTATTTAGAATTAAAATTCACAGAGCCGAAAGCGGGCCTAAAATTGTCAACACTCAGATTTAAAAGAAATATATGTTGTTGAATTGAATATTTGCGATATCTAGAATATACCGCTCGTTTATTTCGTTTCCATTTCTATTAAAAATAGAAATACAGAAATTTAAGACCGAAATTATATTTATTAAGGCTTCATGAGAAATACGAACAGAGTCTTTTAGTGAAAAAAAATCGTTAATATTAGGTTTGTTTCTATTCTCTAACTGTATGGTTGTAAAACGAATCGTAAATGAGTGGCATGCTCTTGAATCGTTTTTGATTTTGTTATCGATCGAAATGTGAAATATTTTAGATTATTATCATTGTTTACGTTTTTTCGCTTCATAACATATACATACGATGATGTTATTGCTGTTAAAAATCATTTATCGGGTTTATTTAAGAGAATTTTACATAGTGTTTCTTCGAGTGTCGTTGGTGGTGAAAATGTGCGCTCGATTGGGATTGCATTCAGTAAGTAAGGGATTTGTAATTATTGCCAAATGTAATCCTATCGACTAATATTTATAGCTGCATTGCGGTTAATTAGACATACAAAGTGTTCTTTAAATTATTAAAACTGGAGGATAAATAAAAAATATCAATAAGTATTTGTAAATGTGTGAATGTTTTGCTCAAATTTAATAATTTACAAGAACACCTTTCACTGGAAATGTACTCGAAAAATAATAAATTGAGCTTATTAGTTGATACACGTGCGTATAATTTTTGTATAAACGATAAAATGATTCCGGGATATTTGGGGATTAATTATTGTATTTCGAGTATAAAATATTTATGAAAATATTGCAACGATTTTACGGTATTTCGCCATAAAAGTTTATTTCAAAAATTTTGACAACGACTAGGTCAACATATCACTTAATGTGTAGTTTCGTTCGAACACTGTTAGCTGAGTCCCTAAAAATTAGCTTTAGGCCTTCCGTTATCTAAATGTATATAAAAAAGGTATATACAGGGTACAATGTAACTTATGAAGAGCAGTTTATACAACTGTTTTATAAATATTAAAAGGGCAAGTAGTTTCCGCTGGCCGTTAAATGTAATAAATGTAGTCGCTAAGAAATATAAAAATCATAGTTTGCACATATGATGTTCTTCGTTCACTTTAAAATAAAACTGCTATAATATCTGAAATGATATGTAACAAATCGATTACCAGAGTTTTAAAAGGCGTTTGATAACTTACTTGAATAAATAATTTATCTGGATTCATATATTCAAAATATTAAACAAATTAAGTTTCCTATTTTTAACACTTTATAAACACATTATAATACGTTGTTATATATTTTAAAATGAATTTGAAACATATTAAATACGAATATTGTTAATACTATTTCAGACTACTATAGAACAAAATTTTTTTGAATCGTTTAAGTTTTCATGTAATATTTTATTAATAAAGTACCGTGGAATCGTTCAATATCAAAAATAATAAAACCACCACGACAAAAACAATTCTAAATGCTCATTTTAGAGACAAGTTGGTTGCATAAATATATTATTATGGAGATAGTTCAGTAGAATGCAAATGTATATACAGAGTGTATGGTATAATTATATTAAGAAACTATAAACTGCTGTAAGGTGGATTCAGTAAATAGTAAAAATGATGTTTGGTTCTTTGTTACAACCAAAAATTAATTTTTTCGTTTGGTTTTTTAATCAAGTAATTAATGGAAAAACGAATTTCTTCATTTCCAATCAAAGTTTCAAAAAATATTTTCACTGAAAACTGAATCAGTAGCTGAGAGGTAAATGAATAATATATGTTTAATACATGAATGTAGAGATACTACTACTTACCTACCTCTTAAATATCGAGATCAGTTATCGAACAAATTCGTTATTTTGCAACAAAAGAATGAAGAAATGCATTTTTCAGTAATCAAGTTTGTTCCGAGCGACCATCTGTTCAGTTATCCAGTTTGTATCTTCAACCAAAGTGTATGTTAATGCTATTCATTAAATCAAATAATTAAATGTCAATTATAACGTCCACATACTTGTAAGTCCCGAAAAAATATACAACTCATTCATTGGACCCTTGCGGTGTATACATAAATTTTGTTGCATTTTAGCGCGTAGTTGAATATTTTGTATGCGGATAATTTTATTTATATTTCTAATAATAACGCTTGTTTGAAGTTTGTTTCCAATCAGCGCACAAATTGCTCAATAGAAAAATTTTAATAAAAAACATCTACTGTGCAACTGGCGAATTGTACTTACCTAATCTGAATAAATATTGATTGCTAACAAAAATTCAGTTAGGTACGGTAATAGGAAAAATCGCACTTATTTTTAATGCAATTAAGTTGTATTTTTTTTTGTTATTTAATTACAACGTTTTTCCCTATACAAAATATATAACTATGTAAAACACTCAATACGAATTACAAATGGTCAGTGCGAAGCAATATTTAAAATTATTCTACAGGGCTTTTCTCGAAACCCGAATCAAATATCACGGAATTTGAATCTATTAGAGACCAATTTTTCTTCTCGTAGAACAGGATAAACTTACATGAAATATTGTTTTGCATTTTACATATTGTTTTAGTTAGGAGCGTTCGATAGTCAACCAACAGTTGTTTTGCAGTTAGAAAATATAACAATAAAAGTAATTTTGATGTATTTCAAACTGGTTGTACTCTACAAGATATAGTAAAGTACAATTTAAATTTTGTTGATGTTTATCATCTATGTAAACAATATTACAAACCTTGTGTAATTTATCACAGCCAATACAATAAATATTACTTGTTTAAATTTCTCTTTTATTACACCTTTTACATGAATGTTTACTATAATTGATTACAAGTAGCGAGAAAACACTTAATTTTTTTCTAGGAATAATTGTTTAAAAGTAGCGGGAAACACTTTATTTTTCTAGGAATAATTAATTGTTTAAAATTAGAGAGAAAACACTAAATAACTCATTAGTTGACGGATTGGCTGATTTACTGACTGATTAGCTGACTCATTGATTGATTATTTAACTCTAATTTATAATTATAAATTGGTTAATAGCGCTAGAGAATAAATTTGAAAAGGGAATTACCTGATAAAATTATATTCGAAGCTCCATCTGAAGTAAAAATATCACGTTTTCTGAATATACATATATTTCTTTTCAATCCAATATTTTAGTATGAAACAGGGCTCTGTTGGTATCTCAATATCATTATCGATTTTTATCAGTAACTCTGAACCGAGTCCGGAAGATGGCGTTAGTTATATCACAGTTATATTAACTGTAAGGTAGACTGGGGCAAATGTAAAAATGGGGTAAATGTAAGATTTTTACCTATTATGTTAATGTTTTTTATTATTTTTATAGTTCTTTTGTGCATTAGACAGGGTTTGTTTCTTATTTTTTGAAATAAATGAACCAAATATGTATTTATAATTGCCCCATATGTTTTTCTATACAGAGTGTCTATGTTCGAGCGCTGCAAACAGTAGAAAGAGAGAATCAGTCGAACTGTAGAGATGCGCGGCTTCGGCGCGATGAATCGGCGGACGAATATAGCGCTCGAACATAAACACAGTGTATAATTGTATTGCCCTTTAGAACCGTTTGTTACATTTACGCCATACCATGGGGTAACATATTGTAACATATTATAACATATTGTCAACATTTTAAAAAATATGTAAAATCGTTTTCTACCTTTTTCAAACAAAAAACTTTTTAATACCTCGATTCTGTAGTTTAGGAAGTTGTGAATTTAATGTGGTATCAGTATTTCTAATAAGAGAAAAAATAAAGCCACATTTTAGGATTTAATTTGGACTATTCAAATTTTACAACCGATTTGCCCCAGTCTACCTTACTTTACTCGCTAGATTACAAAAAGGTCTTGTACAGTTTCGAATTTTCACGTATTTAAAGCATTTTAATAAATTTTAGACATTTATTTGATATAATGTAGGTATAATTGTAGCGTCGCTGATTGACTGACTGGTGTTATTAAATAAATTATTAGTAAGTGCTGTCTTGATTAAAATTTTTTGTTCTAATTATACTAAATGTTGGTACAATTAGTAGCGTTTTTATTGTTGTATCAATTAGATAAGGTTGCTTAATAGGAAAATATGTCCGCGATGTCACTAGACTGAACCAAATTCTCGTATATTTTAACATGTCAATTAACAGTTTTCCGAATGATTTCAATGAACTGCATTTTTTATAAAAAAATAGGTGACTTGCACAAAGATGAAATAAATAATTTGTGGAACAAAGGACTCGCTCAATTTGCATTGGAGGCAAATATTCCTTTGATATTTGTACGTGATTTTATCGCAATTAAAATCATTTCTGTTATTTTTTATTACTAAAGGGCATTGATAGGTATGATATACCAGAACATTTTTATATTAAAAAATGTACCTACAATTTCCGGTTAAAAAAACAGCAATTACCTATATAATATTTTTCTGTTCCATATCTACATTAATTGGTTACCATTCATTTTTCTGCATTAACCTACATGACAACTTAATTATTGTTCACACATGATTGAAAACTTAAACAAGCAATAAAAAATTAATGGATTCTCAGAAATAAAATTTTTTATAGGTTAGTAGCTTAACTTCCTTAACTATCGATTTCCTATTGGTTTTATAAAGTTCTAAGGGCTGGCGAATATATTGGAGAGTTTCAAAAGTGCTGAAAACCTGTTCAGTTTGAGATAAAATTTCTGAATGTGTTGGAAACTTCCTAATGGAAAATTCATATATTCACACTATAGAAAAAGGTATAGAAACGAGTAAAAAAATTGGGAAACTGCTAAGTGTTAAGGGTCCATAAGAATTTCACATTCAGAAGCTGTGATAGCTAATTTCTACAATTAGACGTAGTTAAAAACTGACAGAAATAGCTGTAGAGGCAAGAGTAGGATGCGCAATAGTTTGTACAATTTCAAGACCTCGTTTATAATTATTCGCACTGTAAATAATTATGCTAAATTAGTCATTAAAAGATTACCTCATTTAATATTCGTAAATGTTTTAACCGTTTATATGGAATCCAAGTCTTTGTAATGAGCGCCGGCTTATTTCTCAATAATTTCCCTTCAGGTTTCCTATATCACACGAAGCTGAACACTAATTACTTCGCCTAATTCAAATTAATAAGCCACCGACTTCACGAACTCTCTGCCAACTAACTTGCATATTTGCGCATACAATTATTGCGGTGTTAAGAACCGTGTTTAACTCGGTTAGCGAAAAATTTGCATTTCAATTCCAGATTTACGCAGAGATGGAGATCAACCAGATGGTTCTGATTATTTTCCTCGCAAAATAGAATAAACTTAAACGGTGTTTGTGGTCGGGAAATTTATGAAATTTACGCTCGACTCCTATTGTAGTGTTCTGAATTTAATCATTTATGTTATGCATTTTCATGGCTGAATAAAAATTGGTAGTTCTACCCTCCAGTAAAAATCAACAACTGATAAATGCTTTATACGTACCTTTATACGATATCTACCTAAGGAAAATATTTCCTCTTACCCGTCGCACACAGGAGGAAACACAAAGTTAATTAGATCACTGGAATGTTCGATATCGATACAACTAGTAGTAGTTCCCTTTCGGCCGGCATTGAAGCTACTTCATAATAAAGTACAAAGAAGAGGAGGAGTTGGGCTCGGCCTGTATCTATTTCTGACTTCTATCGGCACCGCTTCAGATCACAACACCTTGAAGAGGAGGCAAGTGGAGCGGGAAACACCCTATATACAGCTGCAAATCAGATTATTGGAGAATGTCACTCTCGATGAACGGATATATCGAGATGGAAGGGCTACTTTGTAGAGTGGAATTTCGTTTAGAGAGTAATTTGTGACTCAAGAGCCGGAAAGGTGGGTTAGAGATGAGGAATGTTTGCAGTTTAGTGTTTTTTATATTGCCGCTTTGAAGTGGATAGATGAAATAAAATTTTCAATTTTCAGGTTTTTTTAGAGCTCACTGGTTTTCGCAAAAAATGTGTTCAAAATATTGAATACTTAAAATAACGCTCTGGCCTCGACTTTAGTTTAACGTCTAATTTAATATTAAGAAGATAAATATAATAATACCTAAAGGACATAGAATAAGTTAATTGACAGTATTCGAAAGTATGTTAAAAATTTACTGAAATTACAAACATACATATAAACACATACATATAAAATAAAGTTATATATAAGTAGACTCAATAATCGTCTCCTCCGTATTGTTACGAACGCTTTCTTCGGTTTTTTGACTTCTTTTATCCATCCAATACATGCCTCTAAAAATCAAATATTATATAACCCAATTTTTTGAAACCGAAGTGCACTTAGCCACACTCACATTATAATAAAACAGCACAGAGAGTACAGTAACACGCTGAAGAAATATATAGTCGATGGAAGCGTTTCCAATGTATTTTGGTAAATTATATTATATATAGGTACGGCAATAACAGGGGCTAGAGCCTCTGCTATACCTAACAGCGATATTGTCTTGCCTATATTCTGTTCAGAAACGATTTTTGTAGCGTACGATCTCTTAGCTATTCTGTTTAGCCTCGTTACTACAACCAGCAGTATTCCTGCAAAAATATAACAATTTCAATTTAGCGTATCTTTGCGTCGTTATAGTTGCTTGTTGAATCGAATAAGTTACCTGAATAGAAAATAACCGATGTATTTGCACAACCGAATATAATTTGAGACATCACTCTAGTAAATACCGTTATAAATAGTATAACTAAGTCGTTCATTTTTAAAATTTTCACGAATAAATATAATCCGCAGATGTTGCCTAAAATGAAAACAAATTATTTGCAATAGGTATCTTACACATTTAAGTTTGATGATGTGTCGTGGGATAATTTCCTCACACAATTGTATCTGTAGTTTGATTATTAACAGTAAACCTTTGGCTACTGCCTGTAGTCGACCATACATAGTTAGTGGCTGTAGTGACTAGACATTAGAAAACTTTTAATTCAGAAATCTATTCTTCGCAATTATTGACTAACGAATAAACTGGTGATAAGATTATTAAGAACGCAATACAGGGACTGTATGAAAAATAAGATGACAAATTCCTATAAAGTTTACAACATACAGTTCAAAAAAATTGAGCACAACATTGATTATCCTTTACTCCTAAATTTTCAGATTTGTAACAAGTTATAATTGACGGTTTTCTTGGAAAGTATTGTATATTCTCTAATACTACCGCCCATTTCATTTTGTGACACTTTTTTAACACCTTGTATATCTCTTTACTTTGGTGGAAAAATAGTTTTCTGATAGAGAGTTGTGAAATAGATCGTCATCTAAGAGAAAATGGATTTATTCGAGCACCCATATAGAATTCTATCTTTTCAATTAAATATAATAAATCAATTTACCAAGAAGTGTTACAATACTTTGTGTAGTACGAAAGTAACTATAATCCACCGGAGTCCACTGAAATTTTTTCTGAACGTATAAGTATGTCATATTTTCTTCACCTGAAATCAAAATATTCTCAAACATTCCGCTCATATAACTGATTGTAATTAACGGAATTCTCACCATCGGAAGCGGATCTTTGCAAAACAGCTAGCACCAACAACAAATGCAATCGGCCCATAAAAGGATCCTTCTTAAACACAATAGCCAACGTGCTCAGAGCATCTTTGGGATTACAAACATCCGATATACGACAAGTCCTCCTCTTTTCCTTGAACGAGGATGTCTCCGTTATCCAGAACACCCCGTACACGAACGCTGTCAGCAGAATAACGCAGGATAGGCTCAAAACGCCAAAATAGCCCATTTTCTTGAACAGGATACCAGATATCGCCTGAGCCACTGGAATAGTCACGTTGATGACGAGCGTCGCCAGGCCGATCCTTAACGTCCTGTCCTCCCTGGTGCTGACGTCGGCTATGTAAGAAGTCGTGGCCATAACGATCATCGGCTGGGTGCCAAAGATCGATGGTACGATTTTGTTCAAGAACCCTTGCACTTCCAGTGACCAAACGCGCATATTTGCGACTGATAAAATGCTTCCTAAATATCCCAAAATGTCGCCGACTAGGGGGAAAATGAAGAACGGCTTCCGCCATTTGTGTCTATCGCTGTAAGAGCCGAGGAATAATATGAGTATCAAAGGGAAGAAGCTTTGTATAGGTTGTTGCCAGGCGTGCATTTTGCTGATTATTATTTGCATGTTGTCGTTTTGTTGTGAATAATTCCCGTGGTTCCCCGAGAGAATTGCATCGCACACAGTGTCGTTATATTTGAAATTCACCCTACATGCCTTCTCTAGTTCGAGATTTTCTAGCGCTGGCTTGGATATATAAATAGCAAATTGATAGAGACCTATTAATGGTTCAACTGTGATTACTTTTCTAATTTTATTGCACTTTTTCACGAAATTAGTCACTTTGCTTTCTTCTTTCTTCACAATATCTGTGCTGTTCGTATCGTCACTTTCTTTTTGCTGGCACATAGTCGATTAGGTACTACCTACACTGTAAACCAAATAACACTGAAAGACTATAGGAATAATATTACTTCTTGATTCATTTAAGTTGTGTTATTATTGTTAAATAATCACCAGTTAATGGTTGTGGTTATTTTAAACTACATCAGTCGACTGTAAATACGTTTCAAAAACCCGACAATAAGACGTAAATACCAGTTTTTCTAATTTATTAGTAAAAACAATAATTAGAGGTATGTAGGATATACATAAAATTTAAATCACACAAAAGATATGTATTTACAATAGGTAAATAATAGGAATAGGTGTTACTTTTGTCTATTTCGAAAAAATTTAATTTCGCCGGAAAATAATGGAGGAGATTGATTGAAAAATAGTGATCGTGCCGAGAAAATCGGCGGAATTCAATCAAACTCTGATCTAAATAAAATTCCCGACGGGAACTTGGAAACTGTCGTTGCTTACGGCCACTTTACTTTTATTTTTGCGAAAGATCTCGATAAATGTTTGATTTGTAGGAGTGCGAACGAGGAAAACTGTTTTACTCAAACAGCGGAGTATCAATCAATAATGCATTGTAAGGAATTTCCGCCTTACGATGAAAATGCATTTCGCATTGAGGAAAATGCTCGAGTCCGAAATTGATGTAGGTACACCTCGCACGTCCAGATCATAATTCTTTGTCTCCGCGGCCTTATATTTTATATGATTAACGTGCAACAGACTTTCTGTTCAAAATGAAAAATTCATAATGCATAATTATTATTTTGGCATGAAAACATTGGGAATATCATTCGGAAGCAAAAAAAAAAACTATTTTTCACTACGTGACATAAACCCGACGATGATTCATTCATAATTCGGTGAAAAACTTTCTTTAAAGGAACTATTTTAACAACAATAACAAGGCATACAAATAAATCAATACCAAGATTAAGTTCTATTACCTAAATCTGTTAACGCCCAAGTACAAAAAACGCATGTTTGAATTTAATACATTTTAAATCAGTTCACTTCTCATTACTAAATATTCGCTCAATTGCTATTTGAATAAATGATGTTGCATGTAGATTTAAATGAAGAATAAGAGCATCTAGAAGCGGATAACTTCAACTAGACATGCAATGGACTTGTCAGATCGAGAATAAAAGATAATGCCCAATAGAGCGGTTGCTAATGGACGTTTGTTCAAAATATATTAAATTATTTCTAGAGTTCTATTTTATTTAAATAAGACAGTTCATTGTCTAATGATAATGTAATGGATTTTTAAATTAATTTCAGAAGTTAAAGGCCACTTGTCAAATCTATTTTAACGACCTTTCGGATTTCGTACTGATAGTGTCAATTATAACTGGAAAATTATTAATTTGAATAGAACTGAATAATTTGTATTTTTGCATTAATCAATACCGTAAATTCAATAAAGGTTAACACGTTTTACAATAGAATTTGATTTAATTAATAATAATATGAAGGTATCAAATAATAATAATTTATCTTTTTATCTCACAAAATTATTGAAAAATAAAACGACGTTTATGGATCATAAACACTTTATTGAGATGTTTACAGCAATTACATAGGTCTTAATAGTTTTAAACATTGAAGGTGTCGATATTGAAGATTTCCTTTCGTTAAATCTCCGTTTTCACAGAAGTAACCATCATCACATTGATTAAAATAACGTTTCGAAAAAATTGTGTATATACATACTTTACAAAATTGTGTTAATAGTATCAGACACTAAAGTGGCTCAAAATTAAGTTTCTGCCTGATTTAATTAATTACTAAAGACTCACTCAATATGCAAACCTTGTTTGAAGCCACTTTAATTCGTATATACCGCAATATACATATACAATGAGTATTCGTTATGATAATTTACGTTTCTTGTTTTAGAATCAGTCTATAAAAAGTATATTTAGGTACTTATAAAACAGTTAATATTAACAATTTATACTATATATTAATTACATGTAAAATTTGGTAAATTTCATGACTAGAAAACATTTTTACACTATACGAGTGTGTTACACATTTAATTTCTTGTCTAGAAGATATGGAAACAATTGGAAGAAACTGGGTCATACGATTCCATGATATGCTCATGAATTATTTAAACTCGTAATGGAAATTATACGAGCTTTTCGGTAAAAATTTGTTACTTTAATTTTTGAAAATATGTATGTTGAAGTTGTGAATTTAATTAACATCCCAAAAGGTTAGTACAAGTACAAACTTAACTTCTAAATAAATATATTATTTATTATATTAAGTATGAAGATATGTAGTATGATGAAAAGATTTGATGAATTCAAACATCATGAATATTGTCTTCGGTTATATCATTCTAGATATGCCATACATAAGAATTTGAATGTCGTGTGTATTATATACTATTTTATATACAATCATTGTACATTACACATATAGGTATCACATCAAAACGAGCATATTGTAGAGAAAAATATGGTCAAAGGGTCCAATGATTAGAATTATTATAGGTACCTACGTGTACCAAATTTACAAATTGTGATCGAAAAAGTATAGATAACAAATTGCTTAGAATAAGGAGGGAATAACAGGATTTTTATTAAGGTTGGATATTATAAATCCATTACGGGTTAATTACCTGTGAATAATAAAGATTCAATAACCCAAATTAATTTGGGTTTTTTTAACATTGCCTTACCAGTTGAAAAAATTATTTGTTACAATACTTTTAGTAGATAATTTCACTATTTGTTATTATATTAATTGATGATGAATAAACTTTACTGTACCCAAAATGTTTGCAAAAAGAAAAGAAAGTTCGACTTTATATTTTTTAGTAAATCTAATGGACATAATTTTTGATTTCTTAAAATATAAATTATGTCAAAATCACTCCAAATCAAAATATGATTTTGTTCAAAACAAAACCATTTTTCCTATGCATTTTCGCGTTTACTATTCCTGCAACTCTGTACCTAAACTCACACCTATTTATGTAGGTTATTTGGAATTTTCCCTCTTAGAATTTTTAAATATTTGGTAAATATAAAAGGCCAATTTATAAATTTTATTAGCATTAATAAGTAATTAGATTTCATACTTTCTTTTTTAGTGAAAAAAACGTGTATGTTAAAAACTAATTAGTCAATGTTTAGTTAATGATTTTAAACATTTACTTACACTCGATACGAAAACGAAGGGACGTGTCCAGTAATTAATACGCCTCGAAAAGTGAGAAATATTCAACCAATATTTGTTTATATTTACCAAATATTTATTAGACGATTCACCTGCTGTTAGTCGAAGAACACCTTACAATCTCGCTCCTTTGGCCAGCCAAAACGCATCACCAACACCTCCGAATCCCTGCTTTATTTACAAACACTACCCGTCGGCCACTTTATACACAACTTTCCTGCTGGCATCCCATCAAAGGCGTTCTCACAGTCACCACTTCTCTATGATAGATCCCTTGCTTTTGGGGAAACAAGGCTGAAACGGGCGACACCATCGGGGAAGTTTTGACGGGCGCCGGCGGCCTCCTGGTGTGGTCGATTTGAGCGTAAATTGTCAGATCGTCTCTGTTTTGCAGGGCTCCGTATTGGCTGTTGCCCCCGTTTTTCACGGGCTCAAGGGAGTTGGGTCTCGCGTGTGCTAATTCCGCGTAGGTAACTTCGTTATTAGCCTGGAAATGAACGGCAATTTCTAGCTTATTTTATTTAAAAGGTTCCGGTAAAAGCCAAAGAATTCGTCAAATACGTACAGATCGATAGGTATAGCAGAAAACGCGCGATTCTGTTTGATTTCAGTCAATAAGGTTTTTTGCTGATTTCAAATAACTGAGCTTTGAGTTCGTGAAATTTTGGCGGTTTCGGCTATTCCTGCTGGTCTGTACCAAATATATCTTCACCTACTAATTACAGAGATAAAATTCGGAAGTATTTATGTTGTCTCTGTAGTTTTTGAAGCCAAAGCAAAATAAGAGTGAAATAATGCTGAAGTATAGTGCCAATCAAAAATACATAAACTTACTGAGTAAATTAGAAAACATTAGGAATTGGAGTATAACGGCCCTAAAATAAAACAATTCAAAAATAAACTTAAAAAAAATAAAATTCAGGGGCTTAAGTTTCTCAGATTTAGGGTACTCGTAAGATTATAGGTACTCGTATATTCTATATTAGTTTTTAGCTTATAGTAATATAGTAGTTGGTATATGGAAATAGAGTAGTATTATAGTAAATATGAAATATGATGTGGATAATATTTAAATATAATTTCGTAGAAAACCTATGAATATCCTAATATTATTTACAGCCCCAGCCAAACTTCGTAAATTGACGCCCCGTTAGCGATGTTAGAGCAGCACTAGGTATGCAAAACAAGGTAAACTGAATTAATTCACATTATCGGAAAGTTCGTCTCTTGTTCCAAATGAAAACAGACATGTAAATTGGCTCGACGAGGTAATTGATGAACAGTCGGGTATACGAAGGTTTTGTTCTTAGTACTAGAAGTTCTAATACATAATCCATATTAATTTCGAATATTTCAGCTGAATTTTAATCGCCCTGACTTCCAGGCTTTGCCTTTAATAACTTCCACGCGGGAATATCTCCTGTAAGCTATATTCCTAGGAATATACTGTACTGTTCGACAGAAGTAACAAAAGCCCGAAGACGTGCATTACTATTTCACTTTTAATTAGTTTTAGTTTCTGTCGATCTCAATCTATTCAAGTAAGTCAACTTTTTAACCAACAGAACAAATTGCTTCCTATGCGAGGTACAACTGGAGTAAATTATTAATTATATATATACGTGAATTTTTTTTCAATTTTCAAAAATGTTGGTTGAAATTTTTGCGGCAAATTATGGGACACAGATTTATTTATACTACTGTACGATATAAACCCCGGAATAAATTAAACCCATAAATTTTTAATACCACCGCTAATAGACGTAGCAAAATAGCAAAAACCAAAATGAAAAGTAGTAAGCTCGTAAATGCATCATCTAAATTACTAATAAGCGCTAAATTGATTTAAATTTTTCAATCCGCGAAATCCAAGCACAATTCCGGGTAAACCGAGAAACTCACGTGTTGCGGCGGATAAACCCTCTCCCGCACCATGTATGCCTCCTGCAGGGGTCCGAGCGAAGGCTGCTGGGGGGAGGCGGCCGCCGTCGCCGTCGCCCCGGGCTTCACCGCCGTCCCGGCCGCCGCCGCCGCTTCGTACTCAGAAGAAGAGGTTACTGAATTATTCAGTCCGGGAGTTTGCAACGCCGAACCTAGCTGGTAGTCGGAATCTGCAAAAAATTATTAATTCGTACATTATTAATTGGAAAATTCGAAGGGCTGCGCGCCGCCCGAGGGCAAAGGGACGTTCAAAGGTCCGCGATTCGCCGTCGCCAAAGGGAATTTATTATTTTCGGTGGTTAAGAATTGATTACGGAGAAATTAAACTTCGTTGCGTGATTTGCGAAATGGAAAATTTCTGTACAACATTCATGTAGAGCTCGGTTTAAGGCTAATGAGCTTTGCTTTATGAATTTTTAAATAATATCTACAAGCACTTACAGCAAACCACTGAGATATTAGAACAAGGATACACTCTAATTCTCAAAATGAACAAAATGATTTGATTTATTTATCGATATTTGAATTAGGTAGGTAATGGACCCAAAGTGAGTTCCAGAATTTTAGAAAATCAAACTTTAGCTCGCAAAATATGTTTTATACCACGCTACAAAAAATTGAAATGCCGATTCTGTAATGAAAATTAAGGTGGGTACTTAGTATAGTTTTCTGTTTTTGGAAAAAACCTTCCCCGGAAAAGTTATACCCCTCCGAAGATTGAAAGAAAAAATGGTTTTTCTTCTTTATTTTCCCTGTATATAAAACTAAAAACACGAGACTTCAGGAATATTATTTGTCAGTGAAATTACACATTTTAATTTTTTTTCAATCCTGAAGTTTGATTAGGGGTTGAAATAGTCAATGCTCTTAAGACATTTTTTTAGATAAAAATTTTTCTTTTCAAAAAATATTTTCGAAAGGCCTAAATCATTTACTTTTTTATCTTTTTTTACGAGAAAAAAATGTTTTGCAAGCTCATGTTAAGTACCATTTTATTGGACAGCCAACCAAAAAAAACTGTTTTTTTTTTCAAAAAATTTTACAAGTATCCACCTTAATGTTCATTAGAGAATTAGCCCTTAAATTTTTTCGGTGTTATTTAGATACACCCTGCATAGGTAATAAAAACACAGTTTATAAGCTTAATAAACTTTATTAGCTTGCATTATTAACGGAGATTTAATTAATATTCTTTAAAAATAAATGTAGGTATAGTTAGCTCCTTAATAATATAATTTAGTTATACAAGTGCTTAATGTTTTATTAAAAATATTAAAAAACTTTTTAATATAAGTAAACTAAACTCCACGACGTTTCGTAATACCTTCACGTTCTTTTATATGATCCGGATAAATTTTATTATTAAAAATTAATGAGCAAAAAAGATATTAAATCGGCTTAGGAAACAAGAAATTGCGGAGTCATCGAGCAATTTTTCCGGCCACCTCGGGAAAACAACTTCCGATTTTGAAATTGTTTTCCGGGAGCAAAGTTTCGAGTCGAGCAACTCTAGTGGCGACGTTCTTTTTAAGTATTCCGAGGTGAAATGTAATGAACAATTTAACTTTAAATTTCTATTTAAATGCAGACCGGGCGAATTCCGCGATATCCACTAATTGACATTTAGTGGTTATCCTGCTTAAGAATTCATGCAGGTAACTACGGAATTACCGAACAATTTTCTGAAGGGGCATTCGTTCCGGCGGAAATTCTACGCCGTAAAAATTACTAATTTTTGCTCATTTAAAATGAATGCCCGCCTACAGCGACTTCCTTTTCTCATAATGAGTACTAAGATTCCTAAAGTTGCATTAATAAAATATGTATCTAGTTAAATTACCTTTATTGTTTGGTATCACGTCAGGATTTTTGTCGTCTTTGTCGAACAATTCTTCCGATTCCGAGCGCAAGGGTAATGTAACTTCTTTTTTGACGCTGAAGAATGCAGGTCGAAGAGGCCGCGAGCCTTCGCGACGCGCTGCTCGAACTTTCATAGCTCCTAGTATAATTACAGTAACTAGTAGAAGGGCCGTCACGATTCCCACAAGAATACCGAGGATGGGGGCCAAATCCACATCATTTTTAGTTCCCAACGACAGCACTGGAAATAAATAAAAATACTGTAATTATGCTATAAACTATTAATGCAATTGACTATAATCAATACCTCCAATTTTGGTATAAAAATTCAGTATACAGTATTCAATTTTTTCAATATCTATACTATTATTAATAGCAATAATTTATTTTATGTGCATGCAACTGTAATTAGTTAATTTGATTAATACAATATACTGAAATGAGCAAATAATGAGTGTAACTGTATATTATAGAAACCCTAAATTATTGTATGAATCGAATTGTAGGTAATGAACATCAACAGTTGAATATTTTATAACGAATAATTTAAAATGCAGCTCAATGTAACTGCACAAATCAACCGGAAACAACCGAATATCCCCACCAGAAACGAATTAAATTCCAAAAGGATTACATGATAAATTAACAAGTCGAAATGGTAAATAAACATAAAATAGAAGCAACAAAAACATTGTTAATAAATTCAAAGAGTTGAATGAAATAAATCTCGGGAAAAAAGATAACTCACCAGTTTGTTTCTCGGCTACGTTTAATGTGAATCCGTCCAACTGCACTTTGTCGCTTCTTCCTTTAGAATTGGCAGCGTAAACAACCATTTTTAGTGTTTTTCCTGAGTCCAATCCGCCTACAATAAACACGGGAAACTTCGCCGACACGTTGTTTAAAAGGGCACCTGTAGTAGACTCGTATATCTCCAAAAGGAAATGCTGAGGTAAACCGCCTGCAACAAAAAAAAACCTTTATAATTTTCCTGCATATTTAGGAAAAACAATTGGATATTTTTTGTGATACGGAGATTTTTAAGACCCGCGAGCAGGAGTTAGACACATCCTTTGGAAGTCTCTCGCAAACACAATCATAATAAACCTTCGTAAAGAGCTCTAACACCTTTCTCCCTCTTTCGCGCCATAAACTTTCCCTAGGCGTTTTCCAATTCGTTCCGAACCGTTCGCCACTTCACCGTCAAGTAACTGCCCAGCAGTTCCTGAACTTCTTCTTTTTTACTCTATAATTATTTACCTTTTTTTTCGTTTTTCTAAAATGGGCGGACATCTGCTCGAATGGTTTTAGATTCAGTTAAACAAAAAGGTTTGCAATAAATGACTCCATTTTAGTGTTACTCAGCTCTCTACATCGATTTTATAGCGCAACGTTCAAAAATATCTTTTTTTTTCGTTTTTGTATAAAATTTTCCACGAACAAGCAAACTCGAAAATAACTTATTTGCATATTCTGCTTACCATCATAACCCTCGGTGCATTCGAGCTCCAAGGAGTCGATGGTCATATTAACAATGCTGCAATTATACGGCGAATCCGGTTTCCCAGCGGGAATGATGTGAAATATACAAGGCTCCTGCTGCTTGCCGGCCAAATTGCTGGCCCAGCACATCACAGTGCCGTAGTCCATTTCGGTGACGGGGTTATAGCTGAGGGTGGAAGTGGCGCGATGCAATCCGGTTTTGTATTTGGTCGAGGGAACCTCCGTGGACTCGGCGGAGTTGTTGAACAACCACTTGAAATTGTCTGGCGGCGGATACGATTCCACTTCGCACAGGACTTTCACTTTCTCCATTTTGGCCACGCCGTAAATGCGCTTTTGATCCGCACGGCAAATCGGTTTATCTGAAATTTAATTTTCGGTAAGCATTACAGCGAATATACTTTAATCTCGTTCTGTGGTACCTAATGTGGAAACATCATAAGTGTGATATTCGTTTGAACCGAGATGATCTATCTTTTTAGAAGATATAGTTCAATTGAATTGAAAATTGATATATCCCAAGATTAAGTCGGATTCTGTAGCATGAAGAATCATGAAAACTCGTCTCGTTCATACTATTACGTTCGAATTTGATTAACATTGATTTTATGAGAAAAATTAAAAATGTATGTAGAAACAAATTATAACATTTATACATTACATATTTAAGCTTTAACCTTATTTAACCACAATTTAACCCAACTTACAAAAACGTTTAAAATTAATTCAGCGAAACGGTAATAATTATCCAACAAAAGTTATTTTGAAACATTCATACCAGTCGTTATTGAATTAAATTAATGATAAATACAATATTCGTATAAATAATATCTAATTTCAATTTAAAATGAATTCAGAACGTATGTAACATTAGTACCAAAAATTTGCTATGGCGTTCAACTTGTTAAATGTAAAATGAAAAAAATGCGCTCATTAAAAAATCAAACAAGAATCTCTTTACATTCAAAGAAGTGCAAATTTTCATAGCAGGTATTTATTTTCAAGACAATAACATCGCAGTTTAAAGAGAATAAATTTAATAAGCTTTATAATTTCGTTCTTCAATTTAAGTTTAAGACCAACGAAATTCTAGCGCAAAAGAAATGCGATATTCCTAAATGTATTTTATTTCCATATTACGAGATACGAGTTTCATTGAAGCAAAAGTACACTAGAAAGTTAAAAAGGTATTTGGTATAAAGGAAATCAGACGAACGTCGTCCTTTAAGCGGATTTTCCCCTAAGTGCAATTTTACTTTTTGCAATTTGTATTCTAACTGAGCAAATTTCCGGCTATTCGCAATATTAAAATTTAATTTTTATTCCGATAGCTAAGTAAGAGTAATATTGCGAAACGTAAGGACATAACATAGATACAGGAATTGATAATATTAACGAGCTATATAAATCACGCTTGTATTTTTTTTATCTCTTAATTTGTGTCGTTCGCCCTCATGACATAGAGAAACCCAACTGTCGTGTTAAACCCTGTAATAGCCAATAACGGAATTGACTCGAGTGCAATAAATCTTCGCCCTCGCGGCCAAAAAATTAATAAATCCCCGGGAGAACCTCCTTAATGTCAGATTAAAACCACCTCCACGGACTTACACATAATTTTCAGGTCGACAGTATTGCTGTCTCCATCTCCTTCGACGTTCGAGGCCACACATGAGTAATTTCCCGCCTGGCTGCGGGTCACACCTTGCAGGGCCAGCGCCAACGTGCTCATGATGACGCCGCCCTTCTGGTTGGCCTGCATCACTTGACCCTGCAAAAAACGACATTTATCAAATAAATTGTTTTATTCGGCCGGACGCGCGAATTATGGCGACATCTGAGGCATAAAGGCATGGCGCGGTCAGGAGGATTGTCTTCGGGCTGATCTTTATTAATGGTCCGAGTAGACACTTGATATAAGGGGTTTTCGTTTCGGTGGCGGAAATCTCGGTTGAAAATCTACAACGGACTCGACGATTTTATTTATATCTACGTATACGCGAGAACACAAACATTGCACATGTGGGTAATGCGATTTGGATAAAATTCACCTGGATTATTCGGGGAATATTCCTAATTAGAAATGATTGTCTCGTTAAAAATGAACGAGATTTCGTTTACTCGGATACGTCCAATTATTTTCAAACATGCAATTCGAAAGCCGAACAAAGGAAAGTCTCTCGAAAGACAAACATCATTATATTAGAATAAATAAAACGGAGCGCGCCGCCTACTACTTATTTTCCCAATTAAATTAGAAATTGGCGCCTAAGTGAAACATTGTTTTAATAAATGGCTCCTAATGCTCGACGGCACTCGCCATGCCTTGTATCAACACCCGTATATTTGATCAGCAAAAGAGAAAATAAAGGACAGCCGAAGATCAAGCGCTGCTTGGAAAGAAAAGGCCCCGATTCAATAAAATACGAGCGCGTCTTTCGCATCTCGCGTCGCCGCTATTCGAGGAATTTCTATATATTATTGTCGTTGATTTTTCCGAATTTTTATTAGATGATATCGCTTCGTCGGCGCCGCTGCAATAGGTTTGGTTAAGGAACAATTGCAGGGAATTCCTAATGTCTCATAGGGAAGCCTTAATACCGGTGGATGAATGTATCCATTTCTCTGTGTCAAGTGTTTTGTGTACAAGTTGGTATGCACGAGTTACTTCCTATCCCCTCACGGCCCATTTCATGGTCCTTTACTTCCGCTTCCCTTTATTCCTGGAATTCCAGTAACTCTAGACACGTCCAGACATTCGGTTGTAATTACTGAATACTGCTGTGTGTTTCCTCTGGTATAAAATAAACAGTAGGCATCTTCTTGTTCGCTTTCGGGTCCTTGATTTCGCACTTTTCCTCGGAAGTAATATAGTTCGCGCGAAAGTGCATGGTTTCCTTTATTTACAAGACCTTAAATAAGGTGGAAAATGCAGTTTATCAAAGAAAAAGAACAAACCCGTTCAGTTGTTTGAAATATAAACGAACGAAACTAATTTTGTGAAGTCTTGAAGTTTCTTTAAAAGTGTTTTAATTTTATAGGTAAATTTTACTCGTAATATAAGTAGAAGTTTGTAATAACATTTTATAAATTATCTTTTTAATTTGGTTATTCAGTATATTAAATTTAAAACCTAATGGAATTAAAATAGATGAGAAGTCTAACAAAAATTTCAAGAGAAAATTACTAGGTAGATCCCTATTAGAACCGACTAATGTGAACAGATTCCGACCGAAACCGAATGGAAAAATAATCTAACTTCTAAATCTTAATGCAACTCTAAATCATAACTTCTATAAAAGTTTTCCTCGAACCTCTACAAATAACCATATCTGCCTGCTTTCAAATTTATCTCTAAGTGCATATTTCCGAATTACAAATATTCTACACGAAACATCATTGTTAATTACGAAATTTGTCTGCGAAAAATGCACGCAGCGTACACAATTGTCGTTCGTTCCGGCATCTCAGATTATTAAAAACCACATTGTTGCGAAATAATGGGCTACATTTCCTTTCTTCGCAAATAAGAAAAATCCGGAATAAACAGTGGCGCTATTCACAATAACTATTAAGTACCATCAGGAAAATAATTAAAAGTTTCATTACATCATCCCTCGCAATTATTTAATTTGGCGCGAATCCAATGCACGACACAATTCTGGAAAGTGGAAAAGCAATTTCAGTCTTTGTCTGTACTAATCATTTGTCATTTCCTTGGCTGGCGCAACTAAAATGTTATGTTATAATCCGCAACACGTTCGCGTCCGGAGCACAATGCACGCTCTCCGACAAATCATGCTCTAAGACATTATAGCCTCGGTATAACATATAAATTTTGTAATCCGAAAACCCGTGAAGTTACTATTAAATATGTATTAATACCAGATTTGTGAAATTATTATCACCTTCATTAGTATAAATCTGCTCCAAGGAGTTTTGATATTTCAATAAAAAAACGTATTATTTCAAATGAATTGCGGAGTAATCACTAAATTTTGAACAACTCTAATTCAATTTTTATTATTCTGAATCTCTGTAGAAACGCGAGTTTGGGTTCAAATGAAATTTAAATGGGAATTATTTCAAACCGAAAGCAGCGTATTAAATACTTCTGAGCATCCTCATCAAAACAATTTCTAAAAATAAATCAAAACGACGAAAATGCCTACCGTTCGCAGTGAAGCGCACTACTCGAATTCTCGTCCTTTTATGAGAATTCTATTTCCCAACTTCACCACCGACATTATAAGATGAGTTTACCGTAGCGTCCACAACAAAGCCGCCAGCGAACAATATATAGAGTTGAGCATTTGCATCCTAGTTACATAATCGTGTGGTATCCCTTTCCTCTGTATCTAGTTCTTCTTATACAGATTTCTGCAAGTTTAATGTGACGTGGGTCTCGTCAGATTAACCTATCTTTCCACCGCAGACGTTTCGTATTTTATTTGACCATCAGAGAGTTCACTTCTATTATACATTTCATAAACTTGTTCAATGTTTAAATTTCGACCGTTTTGTTCCGAAGTATGGTCGATGTGAATTTTTCATGAAGGGAATGAAGGATTTTCCATATAGGTATCTACCATTAATTCACTACATTTTGATATTCAACCACAAAAATACCTATGGTATAATCGATAGAAGCTGGCAGCGCGTATTTTTTATATCAACTATTCTATTACGTAACGAGCATTGAAAATTATAAAATTGAAATTCACAATCATCGGGCCGTTTCAATTAAATCGGAAAAGTTAAATTAATGAAAAATACATAAATGAATCCGTTGTCAAAAAATTTAATAGCGCTACTTACACATTAACCGTAGGTGTTACAAGTAGCAAGCAATTACATGCTTCATTTCGAACGTTATTTTATCCAACTTCAGTGATTAAAAGTAAGTGGACCGTCGGCGGAATCACGGCGAAACTCGGAAACATTTCTTGGGCAATTTACACTTGTATTTCTCGCAAACAGACAACAGAAAATAATGTGACAAGTTTCTCGCCTTTACTGTTTTAGATTGCGGCTCTTCCTAAATTAGAGTTGGCAGAACTTCCCTATGTCCCGAAACTTCGTTTATTAATTGTAGTTTCTTGGCTGTCGGGCGAGGTGGCAGATTTTCGAGGAAGAAGTATGACGTCCGACGATTCCGGGGAGCGTTATTAAAAACGTGGACAGGACGGTTCGGGATTTACTGGAATCCCCAAAAAAGCTTCAACATTAATTAATAAGAAACGTCTTTCGGTGAAATTTTAGTTTATTAAATTCTTTTGCAATTCCTCATCTTGAAATACCTACATATTGTGAGAGTTCCCTGTGTCTAAATGTATGTAGGTGTAAAAGTCTGTATAAAGGAATAAGTATAGTCGTTAAAGGTTAATTGCTAATCGATTTCCTTAAAATGGATAACTTTAAATTTAACTTTCTGGTAGTATCCACACGGTGCTGCTTTCCTTAACTTTATCGATCCTCCGGAATAATTCTATCAGTTTTTAAAGAAATCTAGGAAGTTTCATGTTTGTAGTTCGTAGAAGTTTAAGAACTTGGAAACTCTATCAGCTCAAATTGCTGCAGGCAAACATTCTTATCGAAGAAATTACCATTCAACTTATTTTTTTTATTTAAGAAAAGGAGGATCTTTCGATCCGAAACTTCCCTTTTACTTTGTTTGAAGTTATTCTATTGCTAATTGTAAGTTTTGGCGTATAAATTAATAAAGAACTAAACGCTTGCTATAAATTTTTGGAGTATTTATCCCGAAATTGGCATTACGGGCTACCGTACGCCTCTGCGTTCCGTTTAAAAAGCATATTTAGCTGCTGTTGGAGTCTATTGTTCGGCAACCACCGTCTCACTTTTAATTAACTTAATTAAAAGAGAACATTCGGCTCGAATTCGGGATATGCCTGGCTCAAACGGCTATATTATGAGGAAATCTCGATTTCTTAAAAGTAATTAGATAAAATGTTTGTCTTTGAATCTGCAACCGAATGGCGAAATTACCGAACGGGGATGGAACGAATGTTGAAAATTGCCGGCGATTAACATGACCTACTGTATATAATTATATACAAGGAATATTAAGGATCGTAAAGCGTAACATTAAGGGGGTAATTTACTAATTTTATAACTCGTACGCAATTGTTTGTAAACACTATAATACTTGAATAATATAAAAGTAAATAGAAGAAGCAATTAATTTGTAGTCTATTGCTAGATATACATTATTGGAAAAATTTTATTTTTTTTTACACTTTCCACTGACTAAATAATTCTTAAAATTTACCGATAAACAGATATAAAAAAAACGTTTACTTACGTTGTGCTTCCAGAGTACTTTGTATGCCCAAGGATTGGCGTTCACTTTGCATTCAAAATAAACATCGTCGCCCTCTTCTATGTCGTCGGGATTGAGGTTGGAGCCCAGAGACAGGTGGAGAATGGGCACATCTGAAAACACAAAAGCTTTCAATCCTCTTCCCGTAGATTATCTCGCATTTTTCCGCAATCGGCCTCACCGTGGTTTGATTTTATATTAGTGTTTATTTACCCTTGTAGCGGGCGCTTTTCTTCGAACTTATTTTTATTACGAGAATGAATTATATCTCTTGCGGCTTTGTTATTATGGCAATTTTTAATGACATATAATTGTGTCCATTTAATAAATTTATACGAACTGTAATAACTATCATTTATTTACATAATCAATTTTGTTTATTCCATAATTCCATTAAAAGATGTCTAGTAGGATTGAGTATATAAGAATTGATAAGAATTATATCGTTCAACTTTTTTAAGATCTATTTTTGAAAGAGACACTTACAATTCAATTTACACGAAATGAGGGTTAGCAAAAATAAAATAATCCGAATTAACCATGCCGTAAGCAGAAAAATACTGATATTTCCTTCCTCAATAGTATTGAGCAAAGAAGCAATAATGAGACTTTCCGTCAATCGAATTGTTCAGGCACAATTCGGCTTAAACTTAAATGAAAAAGTATCCAAGCGTTTATTTAACCAAATCGATATTCAATTTTCTTTAAGTTCACGATTCGCTATTTGATTCTTGAATAAGATCTCTATGTATTTTATTTCATCATTCGAAAGACATTCCGAAATAAATTGAATCCTTGTTTTTGCACCTTAACCACTATATTACCGATCGCGAATCACAAAAAAACTTGGACAAAATGTTAAATGCTCAAATTAGATCTCTTCATGGATTTCCATTTTCACTTTGCTTCTATATTGTAGTTGCAACTGTTAAAGCATCAACAGAAAACGAAGGAAACGTGTCGGTTAAGAAACCCCCAGACGGATTCCTCTAATTAACAATGTACTGGTTTTTACATTCCTCGAATCAACTTACAGAAAACGTTCAATTTCACGGTGTGCTCCTCAACGCCATTTTGGACCAGATGATTGGATGCTCTACACGTAAGCGATCGCCCGTTGTCGAGCCGGGTGGGTACGAATGAGAGAATTGAAGTTGTCGAGTTTCCATCGTCGGATTCCTGAAAATAGAGGAAATCGTGATACATCTGCTTGTAAAAGAATTAAGACGTTGAAAGGTGGAAACGGCGAGAGTTAGGAAACCTTTTTTTTCTTGAACTAAGGAAGCTTTTATTACTTTTTTCCGCGATAAAGTTTCTTATACCCTCGACGTTAAGATAAAAAAATTGTGTTATTCTTTGTGCATTGCGTTGAGGGTATAACAAAATTCCTATTGTATTATCGAATGTGAATTTATAAAAAAAGCTTTGAAATTTACCACATGACTGGAATTGTATTTGGGCGGGCTCAATTCTTTGCCATCCATTATCCATGTTATTTTGGCCGGAGGTCTTGAGCCGAACGTTTGGCAAGGAAGCTCGTATTTCCTATCCGCGGAGAACGGATTATTGCTGATTAATATTTCCACAGTTAAGGGTCGAACTGGAACAAAAAAAGTGTATTCTGGATTTGTGTAATTAATAAAACCGTGCGAACCAACAGCGTATAGACATTTGCTCAAATTCACGGAACGAAAATTATTTATATTTCGGAAGGATCGATCAACATTGACCTCAAGATAATTAAACATTGATTGTGTTAAAGATAATAGTTTGTGTAAACTAGAATGAGGTTAACCTACTGGAGTATCCAGGTAATTAAGACAACTCATAATTAATTCCAAATTTAAATATGCATATAAAAAGCTTAATTACTATTATTAATTATAAATTTTCACAAATAATCTTTCATTAGAACGCAGCTGTTTTCACATCCTCGTCACATGAAAATAACATTAGTCTTTGTCTTCATTAAGGCTTTTGTATTCCTATTTAATTTGCGGTGCAAAATATACATACACTTTTATTTAGAACGGAAAACAAAGAAGTTAAAATTTTTAGTGAAATAACGAAGCACGCGGGCTTATCTTTTTTCAGCTAAGCCTTTGCGGATCTCCAGGCTACTTCAGAAAAATTAATACCGTTCTTTTATTCCGGGCAACTTCAGGCCATTACGTTTTTCTAGGTATAAAGCCGGTTTAGTTATTTTTTTGTCAACGTTAGGAAAGAAAACTGGGGGCGTTGGTTAGAAATTTCAATTTTAGACAATTTTCAAAGTTCTTATAATTTTAAAGGTTCAAAAATCAATAGTTTTATTATTTTTAGATTCATAAAATTTAATAGTGTCCATAATTTTAATAACGCTATAATTTACTTTATACAATATATTAATTTATTAGCAGCTCCTAGTTGTTCAACGTTCAATATTACGGCTCGACTACGTCGTCTTGAGGTAAATCTAACTTCTAAAGTTGACATCTTCTGATTAATTTTAGATTGATTAATAAGGCAACCGACAAGGATACTGTAGATAGTAAGTTTGCGTCACTTAACAGGTTATAAATTAGATTTTGGACCTTTCTCTTAGAGTGGATATTGCCTGATTGATTTTCCTTCGAAACTCCATTTTTTATCAACAAAGAATTAGAAAAAAAAGTTTTCTTTTGAAGCCTTTTAAAATCGACTCTCTTGATCAATTAAATTGACACTGTCTTAACTATCTATTTGAAACACCCCGTATTTAAAAATCTGTACCTACCTATCAACAAGCACGTTCTATTTTAATATGTAAATAAATAAAATGCAAATAATTAACGATGAAATAACTGAATAAATAGCAAATATCTAATTATTAGCGTACATTTAATAAATGATCAATTTAATATAATATTCATTCTCGTTGAATAACCGAATTAAGGCGAGTTTAATTCGCCTTAAAATTTGGCAAAATTACCATTTCTAGTTTCCCGGAATCGTTTGAGCCTTAATAAAGTCAATTTAAGTTTTGAGATCTATTTAAATAATCTTGGCAGTGTAAGTTAGAAACGAACAATGAAGTCTAAATTGCTATCACTAATTGTAAAGTTCGCATTAAAACTATTCACTTGCCACCGAGTTTTTCGGCTACAGAAAATCCCTTAAATACTGAAAAAATACGTTAAAAATCGATCCGTGAATAATGGAGCAATTAGTAAAAAAAATAGATTGAATAAATCCTATTTTCCTGTTGCCCTGTTTTGTGTGTTTTTACTTGTAATTCTTCCATGCCTGGTAAGCGTTGGAGATTACGTTTGAGTCTACCGAAAATGTGCACTATCGTGATTAAATTCAGGTAAATAATTAAATAGATAAAAGCTGCCAACAAACGGAATTGTAAACCAGCTTTTCAAATCGAGAACAAGTTGTTCCGTATCAGAAATTCACAACTTCACGGAGCAATTTAAATGTAGGAATGTTTTCGAAGTAAATTTGGTATATCTGTCCAACAATAGGTATAGAGTTGATCAAGTTGAGGTAGGAAGTTTGATCACAATTTTACGTACAAATTCCTTCGTGGCTTAGTTTCAGAAGTAAGTTTGTTAGAACGTATTACAACAGTTTATTGAATAATGCATCGATTAATAAATTTTTTTAATGGAAGTTTGCACTTCGACGCCACTATCTATCATCAACTAGCGTTTAATTTACAAAATGTAATAAAACTCCACCTTAGACCGCCGCACAAAGTGGATCGCCGACTAAAAAAGGGAGAAAAAGGAGCCGCCTCTATAACTAACCGTAATGTTGCCGTATCCAAAGGAAAATCAATTGGATTGTCGTGTCGGAGTGCACTTAAGAGCGAGATGCATATCTAGATACAGTTCAACATGCACATTCAAAGAAAAGTGTTTATGCCCTCTCTGCTAAAGCGTTTTATCTGCTCCTCGAATTGCGACCGCTTGCTTTATTCTTCCAAGACGGTTCACCTAATATTTTCGGTTAATTTCAACTGTTGTTTCTCGTTTAGTTAAAAATTTGGCGAGATTTTAGATTTCCTTCGCCATTTTATTTATTTTATTATTACCGGAGCACATTCTCTAATTGCAGACCACATGATTAGGTATACATATAAAAAATAATACTTTAACCCATAATCATAAATACCCACATAAAAAATGAATAACGCTCACATTAAGAATCGTTTATATTTTTTTACTGTACGTACACGAAGGAAGCGCTTCCCGAAAAACATCAAATTCACGAGAACCGAGTATCAATCATAAAACATTCAAATCTTCCCCTTTGCCTCTGCCGTTCCATTAAATAATTCAAAGCATTCATAGTGTTTTTAAATCCACGAAATACGCGCACCTACAATACCTCCTCTCCGCGTTGCCGCGGCTATTTCGCCCGGCAAAAACGAAAAAGAGCTGGGCGCGATCCGGCCAATCTAAATTTTTAAAAACCTTTAAAAAGCCACCGGTTTTACCCGTAATGCCGGCGTTAATTTAGTTTTACCAAAATGAAATTACAACTTAAGCCGTTCTGGCACAGCTTTCGCGGAATGGCCGCCTAGACTTAAACGTGAATATTCATGAAGTTAAGTTTTGTCCCGCAGCCCGCCATGCGATCCGTTATATTCGCTTGTGCTTGACTTCATAGATGCGTATAATAATTTAGGCGAATAATAGTCTGGGCAAATGTCGAATTCGTTAGAATATTAGTCGTACTTTGATGTATTTTAAAGCTTACCAAGTTTCATATATTTTATAAAACATTCCCTAACAATACAGTCCAGTAAGAGTAGGTACCTAACAGTTGGATTTTTTACCGCTTTCATTTTTGGAGTATTTTGATTATATTTGATTACGGTGTTTTGGCTACTTTAGTGAGTTTAGTGATTAGATGACGGTTCATTGAGTAAATTTATTATAATTTGTCATTTCATTAAATATTCTGGTGTTTTGAGTTGAGAGTACATGAATCGCCTGCTAAAAATTTAATGGAATTTATAGGTAAAATACAATTTAATGAATATCGCCGGTCAAAATGAAATATCACAAGTAGAACAAACCGTAAGTAATTTATTGTTTTGATATCGATTAAACAAAACAATTCCTCATAAACTGAATCGATTCATGATAAATGAGGGAAAAATCAATAATGTCTGTAATCATAATCTCATATCACATTTTTCATTAGGTACCTACCAAGGGCAACGTTATTTTATTATTAAAACGCCAGAATTACTGTACGCCAATAATATAGTATTGCATATAAATACGCAAAAATCCACCTCTCTTAACATGATACACACCGAATGCTAATGAAATTCTGCACTCGTTACAAAATTAACTGCTTGATACAGTGTTTTACAAACGTGTGCACTAAAATTTAATAACAAACCGCACTAGCCAGTGACCGCAATCTCCATATTGTGCGCATTAATAATAATATTTATAGCCCCGCGTAATCTCTGTCACGTACGCGCCCTTTATTCTCTTCAAAATCGCTTATCTTTGATACGCGTACACGTATAATATTGTTACGATACGGTTTGGGCCACTTGGCGGCTGCATTGTGGCGAAATTTTCAATAACCCAAAAAACAACCCGGAAAACGCAGCGCTTCCGGTCATCCACTTACAGTATATCTCTATCGACGTGGTAGCCGACACCGGCTGACTGATGTTGTTGTTGGAGGCTTGGCATGTAAAAGCAGCATGTTGATCGGACCGCTGCAAGTTGCGGACGATAAGCTGATTGGATCGGACATTTTCGAAACCGGATCGGGTGTCGGTGGATTCGATGAGTTTGCCCTCGCGCCACCACTTTATCGCCGGATCCGGTTTGCCTGCAACAAATGAGAATTAAAATGCAACGGGCGCTGATAACGATGCGATGACAAAGAAGCGCCTTCTTTTTCATCTCGGTGTTCGCTCGTTCGGAAAATGTGTAGATACCCGGAGCGATGATAACAATTATTACTGAATGTTTCTATGCAGGGAGCCACAATAATGTGTTGGTAATGTCCTCGATATAAAGGGGATACAAAATAAGAAGTTCCTACAACTTTTTTACCTAAGGTTTCACATCTGGGTATTGAGTAAATATCTCCTGCAGTATACCAGTATGCCAGTAAGCCAAAAGTTTGCTCAAAATCTACCTATTTTAACCATCTCAATTAATGCCTTTTTCTCTTTCTGTAAGAAGATACCTTGGATTAAACAGCTGTAGAAACTTCTAATTGAAGTTCTCTATGAATCCGAGAGGTCGCCCACATTGTATATTCAAAAAAAAACCCTGTATTAATTGAAGATTAATTATTTTCTCCTTTTTAAATTTTTCATTGCATCATTAATTAGAAATTTATCATTGCCAACTGCTGTAATTTCACTTTTTCAAACAAATTATCACTAACTACTGAACAAATGGTATTGAATTTTAATTAAATATGCTTCTGATATAGCTAAAAGAAAACCCTTTGTAGTTCTATTGTCGTTGATTTCGCTTTCGCTTCAATTCTCAATTTCGTAATTACGCTACACAATACAGTAATTTACCTCTTAAGTAAAACACAGAGTTAATTCGACTTTTCGGAATACGGCATGTCCTGGACGAAAGTTTCCAGGGTGCTCATTGTGGAAATTTTAAAACTTCGAGAGAGAGTACTTTTCATTAAGGCTCAAGCGATTTTCTGTTGAGTTGCTGAAGTAGATTCAAATTATTTCGTACTGCAGTAGAACGGAATTTTTTAATTAGAAATTAGTAGAATAATAGAAATCAAAAAAATTAAAAAAGATAATTATAGATCAACAATGCCGTATATTTTAGGGACCTTTTTACTTAAAACATCCACTTTCCAGCAGCAACCTATTGTTGCTTCCATTTCTCTGCAAATAAGAAAATTAATTTCAAAGGTTTAATTAATAATTTCATAACTGAACTCGTAATTACTTCTGGTGCTTATTCTGGAGGATAATTAAAGATTAATTGAATTCATAAAAGTACCTCTATCCAATCTTGATAAACTTATAATAGCATACTAGGTATACTAAAGTAAAATCTACAAAAAAGAAGAGAATATTTTCTTAAAAAACAGAGGTAATCTGAATGAACAGCATATTACAGGTACATAATAATAAGTATATGCAAACTTTATTAATATTCTAAACTTTCCACTAACGTTATAAAAATCGTCGTGAAAACTCCGTAGGTACTTATAGGTACGTATTTCAAACTGTAAGTAAACTTTGTTGAAAAACGTTGCTAACAATGGCTATTAAAAGGTATTGTAAATGTACCTCTAATAAAAACAGCTTCCATTCAGCCTTTTGTGAAAAAGAATGAAAGCAATAGTAGCAGTATTTTGGTCGATTTTGTTCTTACTGCTGTCAGACCCTTTTGCATTCCAAAGACTTCCATTTTCGCTCCTTTTTATTGTTCTTTTCAATAGTAGTCTTGGTAGTACAATTAAATTTCCTATGAATTCTATATCAAAGAATGATCAAATAATAACAATTCACGTATAATAAATAAAGTAAAAATTACTGATGAATTTGTGGAAATATTTCTTCTAATACTATGAAACTTTATCTTTATAATCTACAAACGATATGACATATGTTCAATAAGTACTATTGATTAATTTTTAGGTAAATCTTATATTTTATTAAAATGTAAAGAAATCTGTTTCAACCTCCATGACTACAACTTGAACTATGTGAGGTTCGTTTTGTAAGGGTTTTATAGTCATTTATCTTTCTCCTTTTCGCAAATCATGTCGTTCTCTTATAAAAGAGGACTTCGATTCCTTGCAGCTGATTGGAAAATATGCCTAACTGAAAAACAATGGCAGTTTAGAAAGAAGTTATTTCGCCTTTTCAGAGGATATTAAAGTCGTAAATTTCACGGAGGGGAGATTTTTTACCAAGCGGAAGTTTTAACATACTTTTTTCGAGTTCTCAGCAGGCCAACAAGAAAAGTGTTTACTGGCTAAAAGAAAAATAAAAACTTTTATAATTATTTAATATATTGAATGCATATAAATTACATATTAGTTTAACAATATTTCTATCGATTGGATTTTCTACGTGTTCTGTATTGTTAACAAACACAAGGTAAGTAACAGTTCCGCAAAGCACTTTTTATTAATAGATTGCGAATATTCCCTTTGCTTCAATTAATAATTGTTATTGATCGAAACTAGGCGAACTAATTCAACTAATTTAATTGTATAGTTATCGATATCGGTACACGCAGAACATTCTATTCAATTTTAGTAACAGATTGGCTGGATTGTCTATTTCGAACTTACTCTAGTCATGATTAAATCGTATATTTCACTGCACTTGCTAACTTTCAGGTTTCATTGGAGAACTTTAATAAAATAGATGTTTAAATTCAACGATAATTTGTTCATTATGCCATTACTATTAATGTCGATTTAGGTAAAGGACTCGCAAAGTCTGGGTTTTATTTCATTATTTGAATCAAATAAACGAGGAAAAATGTTCGGGTTAGAGACGATGATAGAATCTTTGACGTTTTTCCTTCGGAATATGTTTTTTCGCCTCGATTCGAGCGTTGAACTTTTCAATGAATCAGTGAATGAATGAATCGGTTAGATAAGTTTACAATTTATTAATATAGCTACTTACACTTCAAGTAATTAAATATTAGTCTAATTGTATAATGATTAAATCAGTGAATGAATCAAAAACATTACAACTAAGAGACCAAATGTTTCATTGATAAATCCCATATAGGTATATTAAACATTTTAAAAAGTGAAGCTAAATAATGATGATCTTTGATAATAAAATATGTATAAGTAAATGTACTAGGCCAAGATGCAACGAAAATATGGATTAATAATTCACAAATTTCCTCAACGACCAATATAAATTTTACAAGCATAAAATATATATTTTCCGCATTCATTTAATAAAAAAGGAAGATTTCCCGTAGCTCCGCAAAATCGCAACGTCACTAAAAATTTGTAAGGAACATACATTTTGATACTTCCGAAATTACTTCTTTACGAATTTATATGACACACAATGTCGATGCGCGGCCGGATATTACGCTTTTAGGAAAAAGTGAGAATAAAGTAAATAAATAACACAAATCTGCCAACTTTCGTCATCAACTAAAAACTTTCAGGATGAAAAAAAAACGTTGTAAACGAACGGAATGGACCGGACCGAATAGCGCGACGTGAGATGATCAAACTTTTGTAGAAGTTCAACAAACAGCTTAAAAAAGATAAACATGGTATCGGATGATTAAAAATGTTTTAATGAGTTAGATTCCGCGAATGCGAGAACCGTTCTTTGCGGAATTTTATTATTAGAAGTTGGCCAATCAAAAAAGTTTACCTCATATTTCCGGAGATTCTAGACAAAAAGCAACAATGTAAAATCAATTCGATCCGATTTCTGTTTCCTTGAAACGAATCGGTTCTCTTGTAAAATATTTACTTCTAAAAGTAACCAAAGTTAATCTTATGTTTCATCACTGAGGCGAATCTTCCGTCTGGAAACCTCATCCTGAGAGATAATTTTTACCTTTTTCGGAATGGAGGTCTGAACGTGAAGCGCAGTAAATCCTGTCAGTGGAACATTAATTCGTAGCCTTGTAATGGTCCGATTTTCTAGTAGACTCAGTCCGCTGAAAGAGCCGGAGGTCGAGTCCTTACTTGGTGAAATATGGTTTACGCCCCATTACGCCTCTCACCGCTGTTTTGCCTTTTAATCCGAAAAGCTTGAGCAGTTCTCCGCCGACGGGACTTGGCCTTTTTCTGTCTCCTTTATGCCGTTTGGTTCGCCATTTCAATCACAACGAATTTAATAACTTTTTAGCATCTTTACTAATTATTAAATAATTATTAACGTTAACTAATTTAAGACACTTTCGACGAACTCCTTATTAGATAATTTAATCCGTTTGTTTTATGTATCCACAGAAGTTGATCACAATATAAATAATTCGTGGATATACGAGCAGGTATATCAACAACGATTAGATCTAACTAATTGGCTGTTTTCTAAAATGTAAAATTGATTAAAGAGGGTGTAATTTATTGTGTTTGCAGGCAATGAAAATTAAAATTCATTCATCTAAATGGGCTGGAATCTTGAAGAATTCAACAAGCGGTTTGGACAAATCCCACTTGACCGGTTAACTACTTAGTCGAGTGGCGGAAAAGGTAAAAGTGAAAAAGTAGAGGAGGCCATTAAAAGTACATAACTTATTCATGTACATTTCAGCGTTTTTCCTGATGAATCTAAGTAACTCGAAACGGAATGTTCACTTTAACGAAAGAGCGTCACATATACAGATATGTAAAAATTGTATTTACATCATCTGCTGCGGGTATCTTACACATTTGGTGCTTTTAAGCATATGAAAGGGCTGTAACATTTTATCCTTTAGGATTTTACTGTACTTACCACCGGATACTATACAGGTTAGTTTCATGTCACCACCTTCCCCATACGGTCCTGCTAGTGTAGGTACCTCTTTACCATTTTCATCTATGATCGTGGGTTTCTGAGGAGGAACTGAAAAGTAAATAATACGTTGTTTTAAACACCTTCAACTGAGTTTATTGATAAGTTAAGAAATATAGTCCATAAAATTTGTTCGATTTTTGCGACCTACATATCGAACCTATGCGAAATGGCGCGATTATTTTCCCCGCTTTCGAACGGCGGATGCCAATCCTCAATACTATTAAATATCCTTCTGTTATTGGCCTGTGCTGCGGTCAGGCCGTTCGCAGACTATATCGTTGTGACCGCACAGCACCGCATCGCCCGGACGAATATGGTATATTGCGGTAAACCGATTTCAAGTCCAAGTTCTGCCGTAGGAAAAGGGAATAGGAAATAAGTCTCGTGTTATAAAACCTCAACGTAAATATCTCGAAACATGAAAGCAATTCCAGTCAAACTCCTTTCGGGCTGCCGTAATGACTATTTCTCCGGTACCATTCCGGGTCCGAGAGGAAATGAAAAACGCTTGTATATTGACGATTGTTCCTTGTAGAGGAAATGAATTGATTCAAGATAAAATTAGATTTAGGATATCGTCAAAGAAAATGCTTTTCCTCTCATCCTCGCTTATTCTACATTCCCGTATTGCATCAAATAAATACAGACATACTATAAAAAAGGAGTTTAAAATTTATAACGAACGCTTTTGGTTATTTTGCATCTAAAATTGCTATGTTCTTTGAAAAATACATTAGGTATTTTATGTAACTTTTGGTTTATTCAACTCATAGCGCACAATTAAGTTACTCTAAAACTTCCGAATGCTAAGATTACTTACAGGAAGCGGCGTTAATTTTTAAGCAGTATCTGAAAATCATGAAACTTTTAATTAAACTTCTAAATAATAAACAAGCTGTACCAGGCAAATTCCGAAATTACGCAGTAAATCTGTCACATGCTAGATGAGGATCTCTTATCAAATATTAATCCACCTTAAAAGCGAGAGGTTCGTACTCGTCAATTCGGAGACGAATTTTACGTGAACTTTTTTAATGGTCTTTAATCAACAGTGTTCCTCATCGTTCCTTTTTCTTCTTTTCCATGTTAAATGAATAACTAAAAAGGAGTTTGTAGCTGTTAAATACAGTTTGTAATTTTGTTTTATCAAATAATGAAAGGAAATCTGCATATTTAAAAATTTAAAAGTAGGGTTGAATATTTTTTAATCGTAACTTCAGTACATTTGCCGGTTAAATAAAAAAAAAAGTTTAAAATTATTTTATTAATGTCGAAAAAACTGCTGTTGTTTTTGTTTGCAGGCAGATCTATTCAGTCCCGCAACTACCTGGATCATTGGATCCTCTGTAGTTTTCCCGCTGTTCTAAGGTCATTGTTACTGCTACAGGTCACTAAAATGCCGAAATTATTTTAACAATAAGGTACCTAAGTAAAAGTTTTGAAGTAAATTACCACCTAAAGCGACCTAGTAAACTAAACAAACTATCGCAGGATATATAATTATCCATAGTTTAATTCCTTATAAAAATGTATTATGAAACAAAAAAAAATATATCTAAATTGATAGATAGATATCGTTATAATGTGTAGGTAACCCAAATTATAACAAAATCCTATTTACTTCGAAAACTTTGGTATATCGTTATAAAAGTTTTATGAATTGGATAACACGTAGGTGTCGGTTAAATATCTTTTGCGTGCAAGTTTCGTTTTTCTTCAAAACAGACTGAATGGCGGGAATCATGCAAGACAAGGCGGTTCCTTTATTACAACGCAACCTTAATTTTTATTTTCTTTTGTAAGAATATTTCGCGATATTAAAGAATTATCTTATCAACAGAGGCTGGTATCGTGTCAGCTCCTAAAGAAATCGGTAACAAAAAGTAAGATCATTTGCATTGTTGGTAAAATTGTTGAGTAACTCCTTATTTATAACGCATTTGGGTCATGAAAATAATTAAAGTATTGCTCATCTCTGAAGTTTTTAGTAGAAAAATCATAAAAATCAACCTCCCCAGGCTAAAGTTCTTATAAATAAACCATAAAAAGTCCACCTCAGGAGGATAACGACTCTGTTTTAAAACTACAGTCATGCGTATATTTTATAACTGCAGAGACTGTTATTATTTTCTCCATCATGAAATATGTCTGAATAAAAGAGCAGTTTGTTCTGAAAATTATTTTACCCAGTTATTTAAATGCAAAAATTGCTTACTGTCTGTGCAATTCAAGAACCGTCTACAATTTTATTCCCTGCACTAGCGTCGAACATAAAGAAATAAAATTATATTTACCATTTTCCTGATAATACCCATCTTTGTAACCACCCCTTATAAATCGTAAATGATAAGAAAATCAATAAAATGATGAAACGTACAATTGTAAATGTAGGTACATACTAATTACCTAATCATTCCGTCTATATGTATATCAAACACTGGTTTCACCCGCCCATGTAGTTAGGAAAACGAAAAAAGAATAATGAGTAAAAACACTTAGCGTCTTCCGAACGCCAGGCAGGGAATTTAAACTAGAAAGTTTACGATTTACAAAGTCGTTAACAAGCTGTACCATGTTCAAACGACGGTGGATTAACATTGTAACATCTACATACAACAGTTTTAAACCTACATAAAACGAGAAACGTCTCAATAATGAAGTCCCTGAACATTGAGACGATTCATTTATTGTATCATATACTTATGAAAAAAATAAAACAACTACATATTGTAGGTACTTATAAAATGGTTTAATATAAATAGTACATAGCTTAATGAAGGTATCGCTCAATTAGTATTGAATCAATAATAAAACTCTACTTACTTAATCACTAAATTATTCGAAAATGTTAAGACAAATCGTCAACGAATAGTTTCTTCACTTTTAATATCAAAACTAGTTTATTTCCATTGAACACTAAATTTCAACTTACCAACGATTTGCAAGGTAACTCTGGAATTCCTTGTCGGTGATCGGAGATAATCAATTCTGCATCTGTATTCCCCTTCGTCCTTTTCGCCGACATTGTCAATACTGAGGGTGGAAGGTTCCGTCATTGTCCGGAAAAACGCCCTCGATTCGAGACTTGTATCTTGCCAATGTTTCGCCAGCGTTGCGTGACCACCTCTGGTGTCGTAACTGGAACAGTATAATGGAATTATCGGACGGTCAGAAAGACTATCGAATTTTCGATGGCTATCGTTACACTTGATGTTTGAAATGTTACGAAATTTATTGTACAGTCAGAGGGGAATAAACGGAGATGCTGCGTTGGAGTATGTGGCACATCAATTAATTTCGTTATTTGTTAGCCACAGTTACTCTTATTGTATGGTAAATTGTATTGCAGTTTATTAAATATTATATTATATAAATATAAATATTATAAATTTATGTAGACAAAAAACCTGTATACCGAGTTATACGAGGGTACAGAGATATAGCCTAGTGCAACTCACTGAGGGTAATTTGTAGAAATTTATGCAGGTAAAGTACATACAAAATTTGAGAACCGAGTGTGCATATTAAAACAACCCGACCAGGCAACGATATTATCTCCGTCGGTGTAGGTATATCTTTCCGGTTGGTCTCATTAACCATCTTCAACAAAATAGGAATTCGAGCAAAAAGCGCCCATCATTACGGACCCGAATATGTTTCAAATTAAGTGATTTCCCGGTTCAGTAACTGCTGCATCCGAGATTATTAATTTCATTATGTTTTATGGGCATAACTTCTCGGTTTTGCTTCCTCTGACTCGTCGCCTTTCGTGCGCACATTCATTAGTTTAATCTCACTGCATCGGATAAATTAAATTTCGGGTTTGTGGAAACGATTTCTGAAAGCCGCTCTTCGACGAATGAAAACCGCTTTTTGTTATTTCGGTATTGTTATGTACTGATTGCGGAACTGTTGCTTTAATGAATCCCGAAACTCGATCTTGTGCTTTTTTTTTCGCCTTCACAAGGCGGACTTGTAAAAATATTAATGATCTATTCTATACCATCGTTGGTTTCAGAAATTCCGGAAATATTCAGTAATCATTATTTTCGTTATATTCTGCCATAATTATTTAGATAAACATAATTAATGTAACAAGCGCCGCATCTATACAACAAAATTAAATTTTTCAGTTAGTTATGATCGCTATTCCATGCAATATTTTTTTTTCTAAATTGACAACGTGTGTTCCCGAATAATTGGAAAAAAATTGTACCGATATATTTTAAATTGTTGGTATTCCTACCTGAAAGGTATTTTATTTATTTTTCATCGATCACCGTTGTTTATTCGATAAAAATGAAGATAGAATTGATTAAATATTCAGCAATCCAAAAGCAAAATGTTGTTTAAACCTAAATCGGTTCAATTATTTGGTATTTTACTCTCATCGCGTTTAACAGAAACAAAATGGATCCCTATCGTTTCCTCTGGTGTGATTTAAAATACATTTAAACAAATTTGAAACCTTTACTTGTTATTAATGAAGGTGAAACGAAAATACATAACTTTCGGTTCGCCAATTTACAAGCGCAATTTTAATGTTTAGCCAAATTCAGTAAAGCAAATGAAATCGGTCCTCAATTATCTACTGTGTTGTGAACCCTTTGATGTATCATTTTAGGTTGTTACAACTTGTAGGTTATCGACCAGCTGGGTAATTTTTTATTGTTCATGCATGTAGAACACATGAACAACCAATTTGATCGAAAATCGACAGCTTATTTAGTTCGAAGTTTAGTACAAACGTATAATATAGTAAATAAATAAAAGCAACCAATAAGTAGATAACCAACTAGAAATGTATAATGAAATAAAAAATTCATTCATAAATTTAGTATTATTCACTATTTGTACAGTCTTGATTTTTCCTTGAAACACAGTGAATAATAATTTTAAATATACTGCAAAATCGCTATATAATCACGCATACAAAATTATAAGTAAACACGATGTGAGTTACCCTTGCAAATTTAGCATCAGGGCGATTTAACCCGACTCTAATAATAATAATAATTTCGCTACCATTATTCAAATCAAAGTGAGCCGCAGCCAGTTTAGCAGCCGCCGAAAAATAAATATCTCTCTATAAGTCAAGTCACGGCCAGCTCGAGATAGTGATGATAACGGCCGAATTATTCGTCGCCGTATTCGCAGTAAGAACAAGTCCAAACAGTCGTACCGACTGCATCACCCTGCTCGATCGCCATTATGCAAAATGATCCGGCATTTGCATATTTTAGAAGCGTTTTAAGGAAGTTAAATTCTAATTCGGGGGGACCAGAAGCAAGATGAAGTGGCCCCTGGTGATGACGTTACTCTCACGGTTCGTATTATGTTTCAAACCGACGAAACAGATCACTTGATTATGTCTTGTGTAAAGGGAATTAATGACCTAAAAAAGGTTCATTTGGCAACGGCGAATGAAGTGGGGGTCGAATAATTCGTTAGTGTTTTTTTGCTTTTAATTTGATGCGTTGCAAACAGGTATAAATCCTTTTTACAAACATAGTATATTTTCGATTAAATGAATTATTATTTAAGTACTCGCTCGTATTCGCTGAAAATTTTTTAACCATTTCATGCCAAATTCACACCGTCCTATTTTATTATTATTTTTTAACGATTTCAATATAGCCGTTGCCGAACAAATACAAAGCTTTGTTTAATTAATTTTAGAGATTTATGCTGAAATCAACAATTATTTTCCAGAATTTCGGTCGTTCGGTGAAACGAGCTTATTGGAAACGGAAAAATTTATATTGCACCTATACCGAGTTTCCAATTCCGAGCGCTACAATCAGTAGAAAGAGAGAATCAGTTGAACTGTGGAGAAGCGCGGCTTCGGCGCGATGAATCGGCGGACGAATGTAGCGCTCGACCTTGGACACATGGTATGTATTAAAATGGATAGAATGGATTTGTTGCAAAACAAAATCGAAGATGCGAAAAAACATCATGATACTTTTCATAAATTTCATTATTAATAACCACATTTATTTCATACATTTTCTGTAAGTAATATAATCACGTTAAAAGCATTACCTAAGCGGCTAATAAGTGGCAAAAGTAAATCTTGTATTTTTTTCTCGTCTCTTAATCGTTTGATTGTCCTCACTTTTTAAAAGAAAATATCAGATATTTCGAAGTTCTTCCTGCACTCATTGTGGGAGCGGACACTTTTCTTTAAGAACTTCAGAACATCCAGATAAAAGTTTCGGTGAAATTAGATTATATTTCTCAGCAATACTCAGTTCGCGAAAGTTCGCCACAAAGAGCTTTATAGGTATTAAACAGTTCCATGAAAGTTATTTCTTTCTTTTCAATATCACGAATATAGACTTTGAACTATTATAAAATTCACGCTCTGCTATACCTATACATTTTAATCCAGTTTAACGAAGTACTTACTTTTTAAAAGATTCAATCGACATAAAAACGTTTTCATAAAATAAGTAATAGTAAAAAATACCGTTTGTTCGTCATATAGACATGCCATGCTGCGTAAAAAATTATACAATGCAGTAATGATTCTGTTCAGTTAAAGAAAATCAAATTAGCTTCCTGCTGCAATCCCAATGAGCATGTACCCAACGTGACATAAATTCAGTCTAATAGGGAGGAAATTTATGTTGTCCGTCATCATTTAAAATAATTTTTGTGGCCCTCGGTTGGAATAATAATGCGTATAGCCGGCTCATTTGCATGTAAAAAGCAAAAAAGTCGAGAACGTATTATCTGCTTCACCTCGCACATTTTTAAATTATTCCACCCTGCAGGACAATATCACAGAGTCCGTTAAGTCTCTGCAGCGATAGTTCATAGTTTCTCTGGATCCCCTCTCAACTGAATAAAGGAAGAATATTGAATAAATGAATAGATAATTATGTCTTCATAGCCTTAAGTGCTTTTATCGTGTCACGATAGTAAATATTTATTAAAATAAATCAAAACTAAGAACGTTACTTATTGTATGGCGTTATTATTTATTTGTGAATGAAAAATCTAACTTTGAAAAATAATAATATATTTACTTCTCATGCGAGTACGTAAGCAATAAGTTCTCCAATTTAATCAAAAATCCAAGATCTAGCTATGCAGGATTCCAAATCGAAAATCAAACTCTCGACATACATACACCTACAAGTTAAATTGAATATGAAATCGTTCGCTTTGAACTTTAATTGCCATTATCCAATTTAGAAGGCTTGTAAATTTCGCGTTGGCTCAAACTGCTCCGCACCTTCCTTCTCTCGACAATTCGCCCCAGATATTGCGAGAGGCTTACGCCAAAAACTTGCCGGATTTATTCGAGCACCGTGCGCAAATTCCGAATTAGATTAGATTAATATGTCATTGTATTCTTATAAAACGCCGTGTGCAAGATGTCGGAAGACTTAGTGGTAATAGACTTGTGCAATTTCAATTCAGAATATCTCGTCATTCGTTGTCTGGACCGCAAAGTGGATCAACTAAGAGTCCGGAAGAACCGGAGCCCCGGCGAACGGATTTGGAAAGTAAACGAGAAAAATATGAAACAAGGATTGTTATCTTAGTTGGTCAACGTCGACCGTTTCCTGTCTGACATGGCATCATAGATTTATGTTCGGGGGCGCAACTACCGGACGCGTTCGTGATCTGCGAACATAAAATAGCGACGCAATATTTTCGAAGTGTTTGCTTTCGGCGACCGCTCGGTGAAAAGGTTATGGAAATTTGTCAATTTTGTTTATATATAGATTTTTTTTCCGAGGGTCAAGAGTAATTCGATTGCCGGAAATGGGGGGCAAATCGAATTCTCCTCTGTTTTATGACACTGCGCTCTCCGATTAGTTGCCTGGTCGACGATAACTAATTAGGTTAAAAACCGATTCATGGCGTTTGAATCTTTGATTTGTTAGGATGAAACGTGTACGCATGCAGCAAAATTTACTTAACGGATGGTTAAAATTTTGCAACCAGTTTTTCTTTTATCGATTCCGACCATCGACAAAACATTTTTTTAAACAGCTCTGTAAATATTTAACCCCTGGGTTTGATGTTTACGAAACAAGAAAAACAACACAAATTCTATATCCAACAAATACTGTTGTTTTCTTTTAATAAAAAATATAAATACCTTAATTAAACAGTTCTTT